AATAGGATAGGTTTCAACGCTAGGTGTCATCGTGGTAAGGGATCTCTGGGTAAAACACTTGGCGATATTATGTACCTGCTATCAACTTTGTTGAAGTAGAGGTAGTAGGAGAAATCGCTACACCGCTGGTCGAGGACCAGATAGTAGTCGTAACTCGACCACTTAAAGTGGAAGTAGTGGGAGAAACGCTACATCGTTGGTCGAGGACCAGGCAGTAGTCGTAACTCGACCACTTGAAGTGGAAGTAGTGGGAGAAATGCTACATCGCTGGTCAAGGACCAGGCAGTAGTCGTGACTCGACCACTCCAAGTGAGGCGAGAGAGATCACTACGTTTTACTGGTTCGAGAACCAGGAGTAGGAGTCTCTTAATCACCTATAGGGGCGCTAAAGTTGGTTTATTACATGTGCACATCATGTGGCCAGCATGACTCACATACCCAACTTATAGCATATCCTGATGTCTGCTCGCAATCATGTCGGGTGATCAAGCCGACGACGTTCGCGAGGAATTATCCATTAACAACCTTTTCTCGAGTAGTCCAGCGATGGCCGGTGCTATGAGATAGGTCGTCGGTCTTCGTTGATAGGTTGGGTGCGATAACTCCGCATTTGTCAAGAATGTTCTCGATAATGGAGTGTACTCGACCACAACCTACTCGAGTGCTCAATTGTTCCTGAAAATTATTTTCTAGAAGGCAAGACATATAGCAGATAATATCGAGTATGTACTCAAAAACTGCGTGGATCTTCTAGCATTATCAGGATATAACGATCAGATTAAATATCAGGCATTATGTAAACCGTAAACAAGCATGATTTATACAGAAGAGAACGGAGCGAGCCCCCAGCGTTAGACTGTAGTTGACCTGACATCGAAAGCACTCGCACAATAGATATTGTATAAAAAACATGCTCTAGGTAAACATAATAAATTATTGATCTGACAATGCTATATGATCTGAATAGGTACGATAAATTGCATATAAAATATTGCGTACCTGTGTAGATATATGACGGATATATCTACGGAATTAATAGATTAATTTAAAAAACCAATCTACCAATTACCTTACTGCGTACTCATTCGATATCATGTGATCTGACATCTCTTGGTACGCCGCGGAGCTTGAGGCTTGGTCGATCTCGAGAGATCGAGTTGTTGATGACGATGATTCCGATCTCGTCGGGGGACATACTCCGGTTGGGTTAGATCTCCTATAGCCGAAGTTGTCGAGTAGTATGTTGTCGGAGAATCCATCTTCTTAAACCCATCTCGTCGAAATCCTAGATCACCAAAATCCCCCTACCTGGCACACACTGTCGATGTTTGGTGTCGCAATTCTGGTATTTGTATAGTATGGGGATCGTCGATACTAGGATATACGCGAGACTGAGGTAAAAGAGACGGAGACAGAGATTTTTATACAGGTTCGGGCCCCTGAGTTGTCAAGTAATAACCCTATATCCTGTTGGCCGAAGCCGGTATTGCTCTTATTCACCATAATCACACCAATACAATATGTGGGTAGCCTATCTAACTATTGTCGACATGTCAGTCTGAAGGTCTGACTCGTAGTCGACAACAAGGTAGCCTTCCTCCTCGAATCCGTGCCCGGCGAGATTAGAGAGCGCTTTCGTCTCTCCTGACTGTATCCGGAGACACCATAGGAAACTAGCCGTGGCTATCCCTAAAGTCGATATCCGGCGGCTTGTCTTGGCGTATGTAGGCTTGTATGTTGTCCCGTGTATTATGTTGGGTGTTGATTGAGGTCGTTGATTGTCTGTGTTGATCGCCCCATGGTGGGTGTCCCCCTGTCCTCCTAGGGGGGCTTGTATTTATACCCATAGGAGTCCCCTTGTCCAAGTAGAACTAGGGAAACCAATATGGATACAATCCGAGTAGTCCTTGTCGTTTCCATGTAGAACTTTGGTTGTCTTTCCTTATCCGGAACTCCCTCGAGGTCAGTTTCCGTATAAGACATGGTATGTGGTGGATCCTGCCGAGATTTAGTCAACTACTATTAGGTATGTGGTATCCATAACCCTGACAACAGTCATTGACATGTCGGTCCCACGGTTTTCCTAATTTTAAGTGCCACGTCAACACCACGTAAGCGCCATGTCAGCCTAAACTGCCAAAACCGTCTTAGGACCTTATTTGCACTGGTTTTGAAAGTAGAGGGACGTGTCATATCTGGTATTGCGGTTAAGGGATGAATTTCAGACTCGATGACAAATTGATGGACCTAAATTATACATTCCTATTATATCGTCGACTTCTGTCTACAGGATTTTATTGGACCTAAGCCGACTTATGCGGGGACACCAATGTTTTAAATAGCGGGCTAAGGCATTTAGCAGTTTGCTTCTTAAACAGCTATAGCTGCAGCTATAGCAGGCTAAATGGAGCTATAGCGGCTAAATTGTACATGAGAGCAAATAGCTAGAATCCTTCTCAAACATCTATAGCGGGAGATTTAAAACCCTGGGGGACACCTAACTCGCGCGTACAATAAAATAAGCGCTTAGCATTAATCACACTGGTAGCTTTATAATATAAAATAATATAAAATAAGTTGATTTTTTTCTAATTTAGGTTGAAATTTTTTAATGTGAGCTGAAAATTTTAATTTTGAAATAGGATATTTCAAATTTTTAGTTGAAAGTTTTAAATTTTAAATGTAAAGTTTTTAAATCTTGAGTTGAAAGTTTTCAAATTTTGGTTTGGATGTTTTAAATTTGACTTGAAAGTTTTAAAATTTTGAGTTCAAAGTTTTAAAATTAAGTTGAAAGTTTTCAAAGTTTGAGTTGAAAGTTTTCAAATCTTGAGTGAAAAGTTTTAGTTTTTATTAGAAAGTTTACTCAAAAATTTGAAACTTTTCAAACTTGATTCATTTTAAAATTTATAAGTATATTCATTTTTTTCAATTCATTTTGAAATTATTTACTTCTAAAGTATTATTCGTTTAAGTTACTGCTTATTATGTGCAAAGATATATACTGTTAACTTGCAAATATATGCTTAGCAGAAAGACGGACTCTGAAATAAATATTGAAATCATCAATCAGTAGCTCTCAATTAGGCATCCATGCATACATCTTTTAAGCAAGAGAAAGGACATGTATGTGGTCAGGCGGGCGGTCAAGCTTGAAGACTGACTTACACGTTGACCAAAAAAGCACGCCTAACCAACTCACCCCAATTACCAGTATAATCCTTCCCTCCCTAAAAAGAAAAAAAAAACAATTCTGTTAATTGATGTACCTCGCGGGAGTACTAATTAATTGAGCCTCTGCCTTTCAAAAGTGTAGTGATCCAGTAAACAATTCTATCCAGCCAAGGCATGCATGCAGATGAGAAATGCATGAATGATACCATCTGGTCTCGCTGTCTGGCTGTTTGATGAGCCCTAATTAACATCACATATACTATTTAATTTAAGCAACTGATGATGATGGAATGAATAACCCAGCATATAGTAGTATGTAGATATGTATAGTGGAGTACTCTAGTAGAAGATGCATATGATGGAAAAAGAACAAGGGATTTTTTTTTAAAGACGAGAACAAGGAATTGATTCAGCTAATGTAGACATATATGCATGCAGCATCTAGCTAGCCAAGTCATCCATCACATCATCAGATCGATCAGCTAACCTTACCTTAGTAGCTCTCTGGTTAATTAATTAGGCACACGTGGGGAAATGAATCTGTCGCTAAAACGGAGTAGTAGTAGTAAGTGCACAAACCAATCGGCCAAAAAAACGGGGATCGATCGATATATACTCTACATTATAGACTCCTTAAGTCCTTATTATATGATCGATTTCCCCACCTGAAGCCGGATAATCATGAAATAGTCCGCACAAATTAATTTCAGTTTCTAGAATCTGAATATACACAGATGCAGAATGTGCATGCACCTGGAATTAATCCTGTACATACGAGAAAACAAATAATATGTCACATTTTGTTCTAAAACACTGCGAGGTGGCATTTTAACGGAAAGGCAATATGCGTAATATTTTATCCGGTGTATTGATCTAGTGAGTGGTATTTTATCCAAATCACAAGAATGGAGTGACATATCATTTGTTTTCTCATATATATTATTAGGTGACGGATTCAGAAAACTTTTTAGGCCTGGGCAAACTTAATAATAGATAACTAGCACACACGATAATCCATATAATTTACCATTGATATAACACATGTGATGTAGTGAGGTTTAATTGCTTTGCTAATTTTCTTGTTAATGTGGTTTCATTAGTTTGTACATGAGTTTGATTAGCTAATTTTCAAAACAATTACATAGAGTATTGTGTACTCCCTCGATTTTACACTATAAAATATTTTAGGTTTTAAATAAATTCATATATGGATCATGTATGTGCTTCGTATATGTATCTAATTTTATATGGATGTTAGTGAATTTAGATAAGAGATAAAAAGATCAAAACATCTTATAGTATGGATCAACGTGGAACTAAGGGAGTACCTACTACTAAAGATCTTGCATAGTATTTTGATAAGATCATTGACAGTAAACTAAGGCCTCCTTTGAATCAAAGGAAAAAAAACCATAGGAATTTTAGAGCATTTTATCATATGGAAAATAATTCTATAGAGTTCTTTGAAACAAAGGATTGTTTCCTATCCTTTTTTTTTGAAATTCCTATGAAATTGATTTTACTAGAGCAATTTTAGAGGAAAATAAGCATGATTCCTCTTCTCATGTTTTCCTCTCCATATGTCTAAGATTCTTGTGTTTTTCATTTGTGCTAATCAAACAATAGGAATCCTCGTATGTTTTGTTTCGGATCTGCTCAGTTGAGTCAATCTGTGTCTCACTGTCTTGTTAGTGAGTGGGTGTGTGAGACAGAGAAAAAAAATCATTTACTGGTTAATAAATAATGAATTACTCCAATTAATTGTGCAAGTTGCATGGGGTTTGGGGAGGGGGAAGGAGCAGAGCAGTATATATAAAAGGGCAAAGCCTCCGTCCATTTATTCATACTCGATCTATTATTCGGCGGCGGCTGCCTCTGCTTGCTTGTGACTGTCGTGTCTGTGCGTGTGTGTGTACGTACATACTCCAGTATATATATGCATTGCTGCATGTCGCTTCATCCTCACCGCCGCCACGGCGACGGCGACGTCGACGGATCAGCATCAGGATCAGGATCAGCGCGCCTCACCGCCGGCCTCATCAACTTCCTCGAATCGCGTCGCGCCGGCGCCATGAGCACCACCAACAGCTCATCCTCTGTCTCTGTCCCAGCCATGGACGCCCATGGACAGGAGGAGGAGGAGGAGCCGATGCAGGTGCAGCAACAGCAGGCGTTCCGCGGGGTGCGCAAGCGGCCATGGGGCAAGTTTGCGGCGGAGATCCGCGACTCGACGCGCAACGGCGTGCGCGTGTGGCTGGGCACGTTCGACAGCGCGGAGGAGGCGGCGCTGGCCTACGACCAGGCGGCGTTCGCCATGCGCGGGTCGGCGGCGGTGCTCAACTTCCCCATGGAGCAGGTGAGGCGTTCCATGGACATGTCCCTCCTGCAGGAAGGGGCGTCGCCGGTGGTGGCGCTGAAGCGGCGGCACTCCATGCGAGCGGCAGCAGCGGGGCGGCGGCGCAAGAGCGCTGCACCTGCACCGGCGGATCAGGAAGGCGGAGGAGGGGTGATGGAGCTGGAGGACCTGGGACCTGACTACCTGGAGGAGCTGCTAGCCGCCTCTCAGCCCATCGATATCACCTGCTGCACAAGCCCAAGCCACCACTCCATCTGATCTCTACTCGTATTCCTCACACGCGCAGAGGATGCACATCCTCTGCACTACACTTGTACTAGCAGTGGTTAACATGTGGATCCGGTTCCATGCTCTGATTGTTGCTTATATTTTTCAAGGAATATAAACAAATCCGATCCTGAGTTAATTAGTGTAAATATATAGATTTTGGGTTTCAGGATTACCATTTTTATTTTTGGTGGCACCATCCAGCTTAACATTGCTCCGATTCACAAAAAGAAAAAGAAAACACTCCTACTGTACATATACATATATGGGCGAGCAAATTAAAGCGGGAAATGACGCTGTGTTTGAAATCGTCTAATCTGGGCCCTTGTTTTGGTTTGCTTTGGTCCATGGACAGATTGACGGTGCTGACGTCACGTTGCATGAAAGCGAACCGAACGCAGATGTTGACCTGGTCAAGTCCAAAGTCCAGGAGGCACGCACGTAGTGATTCACCCACGTGCGTCAATTTTTTTACTCACTCAAAAGCACCCAGCAACCTAAATAGTGCCCTACAATATAATTATATTCCCTCTACTATAGCACTACTCCTATGCAAAAAAAGAAGAAGAGAGATATTCATTTGTAAGATTATTTTCTACTCCAGCAACTTCTCTTTTTTAGATTATCCATTACCTTAAAAAAACAACTTTTACAGTAAGTAAGACAAATTTGTAAAAGATAATAGCCTCAAGATTAAAGACACGTGGCAAATAGATCATTTCCTCCGTTGGTTTGTTTGCCCAAGTGCAATGAATTGAACCAGATTGTTGACGAATGGGGAGGAGTACTGGCGATTAAAGGACGATGGATGGATCAGAGTTGGCAACTGCCTTTTAATTCATCACATGTGGCCTTGGTTTGTTGCTCCCAAAACAAAACCAAAAGAAAAAAAAAAGTCTTGTTGCCTTTGACTCGAATTAGGAGTATTAACAATTACTAGTAGTAATTGATAACAATCCTTTTGCTTCTGTAACCTTCTTTCCTTCATTCTGCGTGCCTGTTATATATGCTAATGCTATCGGTACAAGTCTAGAAGATTGAGACCGTAATACTCTTTTATCTTCTCTGGCCTCTGGGATGATGAATCCGGCAGCTCTTCCCCAACTTAACTGTCATCCAGTTCAGTTTCTTTAAAGACGACCTATCTCACTACACGTGCGGGAGTTGTTATTATCACAAAAACATACCGTCACGGACAAATTGTTTCAAATCTAACCAGGCCTTTGGAACATATATATGAATTTCAGAGGATTGTCGGAAGAATTGCAATAAATCCTGCAAAAGAATCTATAAAATTCATATAGTATTTCTTTAAAACTTATTCCTAGCTTATTAGTTTGATGAATTTCGTAAGTATGTTTGCATTAGAAATTGGTGGTCAAATTAAGATTATCTAAAATGTTGTGTTTTCTTTTGGATTGTGAACTAATCGAGTGAGTTGCATGCTGGCTGCTGTCTTCATCAAGACATGTATAAAATCGATGGAAAAGCCAGAGGTCGTGGTGCAAAACCATCGGCATGGAGTAGTTCTCAGTGTCACGTGACCAAAACAAAAAGGATCATTTCAATTTCAATAATAATAATTATAATACTCCTCCTTGATTGGTGATTGCAACCTGTCCTTGCTTACCTTGGAGACGAAGAGCATATCCGTTGAGCTTGCTTGGAATTGGATAGCCTACCATGCAATGCGTACCGCTCCTGCTTCCTTGCTGCCGTAACTTCTAAGAAGCATCCAATTGAACACGTGCACGCTAGTTGCACCCTTTTTTAAAACATTTTTAAAAGAAGAAAAAAAAGTGGACTAGTAGTATAAATAATTTCTAGGAAATACAGTATATGGTACACAGCACTAGCATTCAGTTTGACCTGTACCTAGATCACTAGATGGAGGAGCTGTAGTATCAGATTCATATGCGACAAGGCATGATATGCAGTGAAAAGTGGAAACGAGAAGTTTGAGCCTCATCAGTTGGCCTAATAAGCCAAGGAAAAACCAAAATTTGATTTATTTTTTAAACTTGATTTTTTTAAGTTGATTTTAAAATATTTTTAATGTATTTTATTTTAGCGTTAACTTTTAAATCGTTACGAACAAATATATAAAAAACTTACTAATAAATTAAATTTTTATTCCCTTATAAACTGATGAGGCTTATTAGGGAATATGGGCAACCGATGAGGCTTAGTCGGTTCCATCCATTCCTTGCCAACAAATATATACTGTACTATATACTTGTGTGCAGCGATATGTGTGCGGTGCAGTGTGTAGCATGAGCGTTACTAAGTGGTACTCATCCATTGACAATCCCAACATAGTACATTCCATCCGCGAGCAATGCTGCAATCGTGGAATCCACATCCACACATGCTGCTTTCTTGGAGCCGTCCTATTACGACTTCCCTCACACTGCACCAGCACTGCCACTACACTCCTATACTAGTAGTAGTTCTATGCATCTACTAGACGACGACGACTACTACTATCGAAGTGGAGTAGTATCAATGTATCTCCTCCGGAAAAAAAAAAGAAGAGGGTTTTGCTGCCATTTCTTTGGGCTCTTCTCCCCTGATCCCCTCCCCCTCCCCCGGAGAATCTTCTGATTTAGTACTATAATTACGTGCATTACAGTAACAAAAAGTGAATCCCTTGGGCTTGGCTTTGCCACTAGTATGCTTTACTACAGCAGCGGCAGTAGTACTAGTATGACAATCGCTTCCTGGAAGGGACCTCATTGTCGCCCGCCACAGCAAAGCAATTTCGTGCCAGGGTCACAGAGAGATGCATGCTTGCTGGCTGCCAACATGAAACTTCCCCTTTGCATGCTTGCTTCCTTCACAAAAAATCACAATCACATTGCTTTCGTCTTGTGATAGCACATGCTACTCTCATCTTTCTTCTTTTATAAGGGGAACCTCCGAAAAGGGCAGGAAGTTCCTGTAATTTCACTAATAAGAAGAAAATACTTGATTCAGTTTATAAGAAAAACCGATCTCAAAAACTTTACAACAGCACAATTAATTAAATAAAACCGGCCAAAACCCTGACATTATCAAATTGAGCTAACCACGCAGACCCAGACCCACTGACAAAGACCAGCGGTCCAATAAGGGAAAACTCCTAAGATGAAGCCTTCGAGAAGGACACACCGACAGAATGGCGAGATCGCCCGATCCAAACGGATATAAGGTTTTCACCCAGAGAGATCCCTTTAGGTGGTGGAGAAGGTAAAAGATGCCCAAGGATGTCGTTGCTAGCGTCGGCAAGCCGCAAAGGCTTTCGCCTCAGAGTCCCATCCAACCACCGCGTCCACGAAGAAAGCCACTTAATGCCACTTGCACACCGAAAACCACCACCTGTACAACACGGCCACTGAGGCACTGGTGCTCACCGATCCGTTGAAAGCATCCGTCCGTAGCCCCGGTCGCCTTCCACCACCACACCACACCATGGAGCTCCACAGAGAGAAGTGGGCTAAACGAAGAGCGGCCATAGCTCGGCAGAGCTTGCCAAGACGACCTACGTCACCACCTTGCATGTCCCACGCGGAGCTCCACGTCAAGCCGCGTAGCTAGATTGTCGGATCCGCCGGACGACCACCAGTTGGACAGTCTAGCCTGCTAGAAAACCTGGACCTGGATCTAGATCTTGAGAAAAAACGGAAGGGGAAACAGAGAGGGAAGGAGGAAGGGGAAGGAAAGACAGATGAAGGATGAGAGGCGCCGCCGCCGCAGGTGGCGAGCCGAGAAAAATAGGGTCAGGAGAAAAATGAGAAAAGGAAGAAGGGAAGGAGGAAAGGGAAAGGATAAGGGACGAAGGGAGAAGGAGGCGGGGGGTGGGGGGGAGCCTACTACTCGGCGTTGGTCACCTCCCGTGAGTCGTCCTCTATTCCTCTTGTCTTTCTTCAATTGTTATTATTGTCATAAATCAGGAGAACATAGGATTATGTAGGGATTATTATGTACCAGCCCGGCCGGGCAGATGGAACCGTCTGTCGAATTCAGTAAAACAAAGTTCCAGGAAGCAGATATAATTCATCATGGTTAATACTTTGATTGGTTGCAATAAACTGGATGGAGTTACATGCTAATAATTTAAAACCGCAAGCAATACTAGTACTTGTTTGCCTCGGCTTTGGCGGCCTTCCAAGGGCAAACACATTCAATTTGGTCCTGCAAGGCCCTCATGCTCTCCGCGATTGCAATGCAAGTGCAATTTCAGAAATATACTACTACTTACAAGCAATACTACTCAGGAATGACTCACCAGATATTTACTCAGGCCATCTTTTCGGAGCTGATTGCTCTCCTCCCTCACTAACATTCATTCGCTTCAATCCCCTCAGTGCCACTGCAACAAGCTAATGAGGCACACATTAGATTGCGCAACAAGTGAACACAGAAACTATTATGCATCAATCAAAAATACAATTCTATGTGACTTCACCAGAAAATATAATGACTGATTGTTCAAGGAACTCTGGGAAACAGTTCCACATAAATGTTTCTTACTCCAAACCATTTCAGGTTAATTTCTTCCAAAAAGGAATTGGTCTACAGCATTCAACCTATTGTGCCTAGTGGTTAGAGATTATCCTCCCAGTGACAATTAACAGCACGTCAAGGATGTGCTACTGGAAAAAAAAGCATGACACTGTACATGATCTGGATGCATCATCGCATTGTTTCGCCATGCCACAAGAATTGTAGTACTAATCCATAAAGGGATTGAAATAGTGAGCACTCACCCTACTGGGAGGTTCATTTTGTAGTCTGGGACTTCTCCGAGGCTCTGCATTCTGGTTTTGCAAATAGGACTGACCACTTTGGAGAAGAGACGATGGACTCTGGTTTTGCAAAAGCGATACCCTCCTGTTCGAGACATCAGCCGACAGATTCTGGTGCGGCAAATAGGACAGATTGTGATTTTGCAAATTGGGTAGATTGTTCTGGACAAAGGATGGCATGGTCTGGTTCTTCAAATAGGGTGGATTGGTCAGGGCAAGAGATGGTAGATTCTGGTTTTGCAAAACGGGTGATCTGTCGTGGACAATTGATGGCCCTGAAGTGTTATCTGCATGGTTTTCCCTAGAAAATCTTTGTCGAGTTTCTTCGGTTGGAGTACTAGTAATAGCAGTATTGTTGCGTGAATACTGAGTGGCGGCAGCTCGAGCTCCGGCTATGGCGGCAGTGACACTGGGAGATTTGTCTAGTGCGGCGGACCTTGAGGAGTGAAGTTGAAGAGATCCAGGGTTGAGAGAGAGGGGATTGGTGGGGTCAGGGAGTGGGAAATTGACAGGCAGTGGACCTTGAACAGGTGAAAGACCCCTGACTGCTCCCTCATAGATCTGTGACATGACAGAAAGAAGATGAACAGATTCATTAGAAGGACAAGTGAGAAAATTAAGCAGCAGCTGCATTGTTTATGCACTGTGATCTCTCTTATGTTATTTAGAAGAGAAGAGAGGACACACCCGTCTCTCTAAATTGTAAACACCCTGGTAACCACGCATGTCGAATGGAACCACCAGTTTCTGCATTGCATTGCATAATTCGCATTGCAGCAAAAAAAAAGAATAATACAATTAAGCAAATTTAGAATGAAAAGAAGTGCAGCGTGAAATACTAGTGAGTTGAGGTGACCTGTGGGTTTTCACAAAGCCAGCAGAAGTCGGTCAATGCTTCGAGCCTGACCTGCAGGTAGTGAAGAAGATGATTGGAATTGGGAAGGTGCAGGTAGTAGTAATAGAGTAGGGTTGAGTAGATACAGATTGGGGCACATGTTCCCAGGAAGCAAGCTCTTGAGAGGTGACACAGCCTACCACCTCGACGCATCCTATTGAGTAGTAGTAGGAGTATGAGAATTGAACTCCTAGCATGGTAGTTGCAGTTAGTAGTAGAGAGTAGCGTCGTACCGAGGAGGCGGGAGACAGGGTAGTGGTGCGGGAAGGTGATGTTGGTGATTCCGTCGAGGGCGTAAATCTCCCTGTAGAACTCCTCCATGGCCTTGATGGTGTCCGCCTCGGGGACCTTGGAAGCCGCGTGGATCCAAAGCCGCCCTGCTTTCAATTCAATTCATCAATCTTAATCTTATTAATCTTGGATTGGAGGAGGAAGGAAGGAAAGAAAGGGATAGATAGCTACCGGTGAGGGGCGATGGCCATGAGCGGCCCTCGACGCGCTTGATTCCGTGGACGAGCAGCGACGCCCACGGCTGGTGCATCGTCAGGCAAGGGTTCCGGAGCCTTCCCCCGCCGCCGCCGCGCATGCCGCCGCCGCCGTGCTTCCAATCCAATCGGAATCGGAATCGGAATCGGGATTGCCGTCGAATCGCTCCTACTCCTACCTACTCTTTTTTTTTTTTTGAACTTTACTCCTACCTACTCTTGGTCGAGGGGAAGAAGGATCATCTCATCTGTCTGCTCTTGTCTTGGGCCAACTGTGTACTGCTATTTGTTAGTTGGGCCAAATTAAGGCTTTGTTTGGGCCCAACATATATTATATAGACTGTGAGCGTCTGATTTTTTTTGATAGATAGTACTCCTAGATGGTTTCTTCACTCTTAATTAACAACTGGAACTACTCGTTTCTTATACAAAGTGAGTCTAACTTAACTGGCTAGATTACTTGTGGTGGAACTATCCCACCAAGTTTAAATTCTAGATTTAATACGAGTGCTCACGATTACGTCTAATTATTTATGGCAGACGACGTGTTTGTAGTGACTTCGCCAATCTTAAGTCAATCACTGGATTATCATTCAATGGATAAGAAAGCTGCTATATTTTTTAAAAAAAATAAAAGAAGAAGAAAGAAAATCGCGTGCGCCTGAAATCTACACATTCGATGCATAGATAACATCATTGGATAGCCATAGATTAATTAAGATGGTCTCCGCAAAACAAATTAATTAATACTCATACATATATACCGGCAAAAAAGGAAAGAAAGCAGAGATGGAATCAGTTCACATTGGGAGTAGGTACTGAAAGTCGTAGTCGTATGGAATGACGTCGACGAGGTGATGGATGTTGAGACGGTGTCCGGACCACCTGAGGCAATCAACCATGGATTTCCTGAGAGACCAGGACGTGGGCAGCTGGTCGCAAATCCAGCGAACAAGCGAGTCCAGGTCCTTTGCGAAGTCGTGCATGTTGGAGTGTATGAGGCTTGGGATCATCAGCCTCCTCCTCGTCGATGTCACCACCAGCGATGCCTGCAGATACTCCAGCTTCGCCTTCTCCAGATCCATCATCACACGATCAGCCTTGTATATTCGTAGCTGCAATGCAATGCAAATCCATTAGTTACAGTTGCATTCAACAGCTAGCTAGCAGCTTAATGGAGTAGTAATTAATTACCGCGGGAGATGATCTGTTGCCACAGCAGAGTGCGAACAGAATGTTGGGTTCTGAGCTGTTGAGCCCGTAACGACTCCTCACCTGCTGTTCTTCCACATCCACCTCGCATTTCCAGAATTCCTGCATTCTCGAATGGATATAATCGTTGCCAGAGCCAGAGCCACGAGAAGAATGAATGAATGAAATGCCTCACTTCTTTGACACTGGATGGCTGTCTGAGGATGAAATTCTCTATCACCAAGGCGTTCAACTTTTGCCCTGATACATTCAGCGTGGCCTTGTTCTTCAGTGCAAGTAGCTTTTCAGGGTTTGAGGGTAGTCCATTGTGCAAAATCCCCTGAAATACAAAGTTGATTTAATTGTCATCATCAGCTAGACAGTCCGTTTGTGCAGAGAGACCGATTCGATTCAATTATTAATAAATACTCCACGTACGTACGTGCATGATGCAGGTGTTGTATATGTTGAGCCAGAAGGCAAGCTTTTGGTGGTGAGTGAGAAACCTCAAATCCACATGCTGCAGTGCCTCCAGCATCCCCCTGCATATGAAATGCTCAACTTTTAATTACTAATTAGTGGATCTGCTGCTAATTAGCAGGTGCATTATCAGGTAGTAGCAAATAAAGTAGGCAAGCATTAGTGTAAGTACCTGAGCTTGGTGAGCAGGGGAGAGGTGGAGAATCCTCTGAGGTCGAAAGCGGAGGAAGTGAAGCTGACGAGGTTCTTGTAGGGGCCTATATCTCTGACGATGGAATCCGGGATGGCGAAGATGCCGTAGTGATCCTGCTGCCCCGACCGGCAATCCTGCTGCTGCTGCTGTTTGTTCATTACCAGGCTGGTGTCGATTCTGAAGCTTCCACCTCCTCCTCCTCCCTGATGCTGCCTGGTCAGTGAAGGCGATGAGGAAGAGGACCTACTACTAGCGTTGTTGTTGTTGTTGTCCTGCTGCTGCAGCTGCAGGTCGGCGACCCTCGAGGACCTGAGCAGTCGGATGAAGATGCAGATGAGGCACTTGACGATCCTCTCCGACAGCTTGTTGGGCTGCTGCACCATCTTCTTCTTTTTGTTACTACTACTACTAGTATCATCGAGTGAATTAAGCTTTGGACTGGGAGTGGGAGGTTTATTGCTGACGATGGTCATGAGAGGATGATGATGGCGGCTTGTGTCGAGGCCGTTGATGGCCTGACTGATGAAGAACATGGACTTGATGTTGGCATGATCTCCTGCTGCAGATCCTCCACTATTAACATTGGCATTGACAGTGTCGTCGTGGGTGAGGTTGATTGCATTCTGGGTAGTTGTGGTGGCCGCCGCCTTCTTCATGCTTCGGATCTGGGTCTCCAGGCGGGCAATCTCCTCCTCCACCAGCACCAGCTCTGCTAGAAGCTCCTTGGCCTGCATCCATTTTCATTTTCATTCTCATTCCTAGCTACTCCACTAACTCATCGACTCTGCTTCTGGCTTCTACCTTGTGCGGGATGAATGCAGGGATGTTGTGGAGGACGGATGGAGACGACAATGATGATGATGATTTGGTGGTGTTTGAGTGCTGAAGGGCGCGGTTTAGGATATCATGCACCGCCTCCTCGTTCCGCAGCTGCTTCTTCAGCTCACTCACCTGCTTATATTTTATAATGTACACTGCTTATTGCGTCTGCTGCTGATCCAACAAATAAATTTAAGCTAATTAATTAATTACCTCTTGCTCAAGTCTCTGCCGCAGCCGCCGCGCGGGCACTGTTCTTCTGCTCTGTAATTGAAATTAAACAGCTAGCTAGCCTTGTCAGATACTACAATATAGTACGTATTTTTTTTCAGAGAATGGATTACCGGACACTGTCATCGATATGATCGAATTTAATTAGCTACAATGGCAATTAAGGTGGATGGGACGGGATCAATCATCAGACCTGAGGATGAGGGTGAGGATGGGCGTCATCGTGAGACGACGGTGGTGGTGCAGCGCCGGTGCCGGAGAGCAGCTGGTGAAGATGGGGCGGAGGAGTAGTGCTTCCCGCGGTCACGTACTCCTCCATATACTATACTAGTGCACTGTACGATGGGATGAACTAGCTAGCGATGGTTCATTATATTAGAACCGTCTGGCGGGAGCAAGCTAGCTAGGTGAAGAAGAAGAAGAATGATCGATGATGGATGGATCGAGGAGGAAGAAAGGTAGAGCTAGAGCTTAGAGAGAGCAGATGGTTGGGAGGGCGCTGTCGTACAAGGATTGGCAGGTGAGGTGCGGCCGAAGTACGCAAACTGCTGCTGCTATGTTTGGGCGATCCGATCCAGGGAGGGGAGGGGATTGATCACCGATCGATCGATCACCTATCCTATATATATGCAAGCAACCAAACACTTCTAGTTCTAGCTTATGTGGTAGTCGATCTTGTGCTAGTGCCATGGGTTGGTGGCGTCATCGAGCGCGCGCGTTACATCCCATCTACATTTCCCATTCCAATTTTATTTTAAATACTACTACTACGACTACTTTTTTTCCCTTCCACACAACACATGCCTATCTTGCCTTGTAATCCACACGCACAACTGCATCCACCATGTCATGTAATCTCTCTGTTTTTCCTCTCCTCTCCTTGTTGAGTGCAACCTACTCAACACCGCTACCTTACCTGGCGCCTTCTTTTCTCTGCTTATTTTCTGTATCTTAGTGCAGTTGGGTGGAATCAACATTTTCATCTTCACTAACCACCTGCTATCCGTACGTACCACGCATGGGTTTTACCATTTTAACTTTTTTTTAATCATTTATAGCTAGCGTCCGTTATATTCTTACTGTTTTCGACATTCATCTCAATATATACAAGATGGGGTCCTGCACATATATCTCTTCTCTGCCATCTTCAAAGCCAAGTCATCCTCCTTCCATATGTATTCCCACCGTGTGTAACCCATGCGCTCGCGGATCATACGTAATTAAATAACTACTGCATCTAATGTTTTATTCTCAATCACCCTCCTACTATATCCTAATTTATATGGGCATGGTCCGTTAGAACGTATGAGTATGTTACTGGTTACAACAAAATGACAATATATTTCAAGAGGCCTGGATGGCTGCAAAATTTCCTAATTCTTCCCTCTACAACGGGTAGGAAAGGATTATTTTCCCTTGTTATCCTATAATTTATTGAGTGAATGGCAATTTGGGTCACATTTTATTACACAAGTTTACTTTGGACCACCCTTAAACCAATATTTTCACTTTGGACCCGAGTAACTTTGTTGTTTTCTCGGTTTAGACCACCCCAAACAATTTATTCATCACCCCAACCTCAATTAAATTAGTTTTGATACACCGGTGAACTTTCCCGTATATATCTTCATAAAAATGGACGGTAGATATGAACCGTAAAGAGAGTTGGGTGGTCCAAACTGAAAATGGTAAAGTTAGTCCAAAGTTAAACGATTACTTTAAAGGTGGTCCAAAGTGAAACTTTACGAACAAAAGGTGGCCTAAACTATAATTTACTCTGATTTATTCATGCAAGCCAAATGGCATATATAAAAATTAATCCTTATAAATTCAAATTATTTGTTTTCTCTGTGAACCTAACAAGCCGATTTGAACCTAACAAATTCAAATTCCTATCTCCGCCCCTCTACCACCGGCCCAGCCCCCTCCCCCCCCCCCAAACCGCCGACCCCTCCCGGTAGTCAAGAAGATCCTCGTCCGACCTCGGCAACAAGAGCGACTTCCTCCTCCGCTCTAACCCCGCCCACAAGATCCCCGTCCTCCTCCACGCTAGTCGAGTCCCTGATCATGCTCCAATACCATGATGACGCCTTCCCCGATACCCCCACCTCCTCCCTCCGTCGAACTCCTCCTCCTCCGGCGAAGCCGACACCGCGTACGCGCGCACCAAGGCAAGATTCTAAGCAGACTACGTCGACAAGAAGCTCTACCGCTGCGGGATCAAGCTATGGAGGCTCAAGGGGGAGCTGCAAGCCGCGGTGCGATGCAAGATGGTGGAGATCCTCTGGACGATGGAGGCGAAGCGGGAGTTCTTCTTTTGTAGCGGCGGGCTTGGCTTCACCAATGTTGCGCTCGTGCTATTCACGACATGGTTCTACAGCTACGAGTGGTGCGGTGGGTTCAGCATCAATGAGGTAGCGCCAAAGCTGGCGACGTGGGCACGACAGTGCATATAGATCGACTCCATCGCCAAGCACCTCCCCTCGCCGGAGAAGGTGCATGACTTCATCAGCGTCCTCCGAAATAAGTACGACGTTAAGTAGATGGGATCTCAACATCGATCGGTCTCCGTCGAGTGATTCATCGTGAGATCGATCGATGCAAAGTTGCAGGGATTGATTGGCTGTTTCGTTTGCTATGTCATTGGCTTTCCCGCGCTCCCTGCCTTGTCGCTCTCTAGGCACTTACTGGTGGAGAGAGGAGATAGAGATAGAGAAAAAGAGGGTGAAGTGAAGGAAGTGGGTCCTACTATTTTTTATTTTCTTGTTTGATTGACATAATGGGCCCTACATATTTTTTTTAAAAAAATTTAGTTTTCAATTTTGTTATTTTTTTAATCAAACTGCACGTCAATGTCATGTGGGACGAAGTCCTAGTCGAACTAGTCACGTAGGAGCCAGAACCGGAGACAATACAACCGAAGGATTTCATTTGCACTAGTTTTGTAAGTTGGTGTTGTATATTTTTCGGTTCAAGATGAAAATTGGACTGAGTGACAACTTGAGGAGCTAAAGTGAACTTATTCTTATAAAAGGCCGTGGGTTTACCCGCAAAAAAGGGGGGCCATGGATCGTTGGGCCGAAACAACACACAGGTCATCCGGCCGCTCTCTTCTTTGGGCTGGTGGAATTAATTATAGTATAATAAGGAAAAGCAGAAAGAAAAGCGTGGCACGGCACGGCGACGGCGAGCGATACAAGAAGAAAGAAAAAGTCTCACCTCGGAACGGAACAGCAGCATGTGGGCCCACACCACACGTCTTTCGTCGCAATGCCACGCCATCATCGATCCCTTTCCTTCATCAGGAGTTAATCCCCTTTCTCTCCCTCCCGGCCGCCGCCCCGCCCCGCCCATCTTGTCAGATCCTTCTTCATAGTTACGACCAATCCTATCCAATCCAATTGTTTTGAGAACCAAGGGAATTAAGGAGAAGAATCGAGGAAGAAGAAGAGGCCATGGTTGTGTACGAGCAGGATCCGGATGTTCTCCGATGGAGCCTTCACCTTCTTCTTCCACCCGCCGCTGCCCTACACTACCAACAACGCACCAGCAGCGTCGACTGCGATGAGATGATCGCCCACGCCCTCCAGGAGGAGCTTTCCTACGCCCAATCCCAATCCCTATCCTCCTCCATCCTCCATCTCCCCCCCTCTGGTATTCCCTCTTCCCTTTCCTCCGCTCTTGTACACTACAGTATTAATCTTTCTTGTTTTTTCTACAGCTCCTCCACTAAAGGAAGACGAACAAGATGATGCGCCACCACCACCACCCCCCTTTAGTTCTTGTTCAACCCCTGCAGATTATACTAATACTAATAATCATAATGCCCATGACTGCTTAATCGAGTTTGTCGATGATTTCTCTGCTCTAGATGGCCAAGTTGGCAAAAGATTACACGACATGATTCCCATTCCTGTAACTAACTCTCTACTGCTTATTCCCCACCTTCTCTTCACCCATTCATCATTTAAATATTCTTGTCAAAATATTAATCCATTAATGATTACCTTGCTTCTTCCTCTTCTTCTTCTTGATGCTACTTGTTGGTTACCCTTTCCTTCCTTCTCTTATTGTAGCATGTTCCAAAAACTAACGGGGACATTCCTTCTGTTGATGAAGCCTTTTCAGATCACCAAAGACTCCTTCACAGGTAATAAATTGCCCTCAACTGTATTTCTAACTCTACCAATACAACTTTAACCTCATGCCAACTTTTCTATGTTCATGTCTTAGTAATGCGCGAGTCTCCCATAGGTGTTTCACTTAATGTTGGTTCTGGAAACTGACCCCATGCATGGCGCCATGTGATTTCTTATTTAGGTTGGAGCTGTATGATCTTGCTGAGCTCAAGGTTGAAGGGGATGGCAATTGTCAGGTATTACTTCAAATATGTACTCTTTTTCTCTATTTTATGCTCTACTTATCTCTTTTAGCATGTATCTTATACACAGTTCCGAGCATTGTCCGATCAATTTTACCGCACCACTGAACACCACAGATTTGTTCGGCAACAAATAGTGAAACAGGTTATTCTTGGTGAAGTCATCATGTTTTCTTGTTACAACTCTACTTCCTCATCTCATTTTTCCCTTTTTCAACCGTTCCACAGCTTGAGTCTTATCCGGAAATTTATGCAGGATATGTCCCTATGGATTATAGGGAATATCTAAAAAAGATGATAAAGTAAGTATTTCTCGTTTTTATTAACAAGTAAATCTTTGCTTTATAGTGTAACATTAGGCATTTTCACTTTGTGGCCACAAAATCGACCAGGAACGGGGAGTGGGGTGACCACGTTACATTGCAGGCTGCTGCAGACTCGGTAAAGATGATGTTTCCACACTTCCTGACTTATTAAATAATTATTCTTCTGTTTATCGGAATTATGCTGTATACAGAATAAGAGTTATTTGTATTGGACAGCATGGTCTGGGATTCATTAAGTGATGAATAATCGAAAGAAATCATATATATCTGAATAATTTAAATCTCAACAAAAAAAGAATGGTATTTTCTCTAGTTTTTATTTTGGTAACCAGCATACCTTAACAGGTACGTAGTATATTGCAATCTCATGCACATCATTAATATAGTATAGGTATTGCTCCCCCTGGACTTGGTCGTGTTGCTTTTGTGCTACTTGATTTTTCTTCTCTTTGCCCAACACTCAAACTTCATGATTCTCATAGGTGGTATTGTAATGTCCTCCCTTATCATAATACCAGGCCTATACATCTGTTGTGTTCTCGTTTGAGATTGAGTAGCATTTTGTGAATGACCAAGTCATGGATTTCCTAGAACCAGGGATACCGTGCATCTGCTCCTTGCTATCAATGTGAAACTCAAGTATCTGCATTGTTTTTTGCAGTATGGTGTAAAGATTTTCATCCTGACATCATTCAGAGATACTTGCTACATTGAAATCCTTCCTGTTGTTCAGAAATCAGAAAGAGGTAACCTTTCTTTTCAAATTATGTTGCTACTGAATTGTATTACTGAAATTAGCAACTACTTATATTATCCAGTCAAACATAGATGCAGATCTTCATCAGTTGATATGACCCGCCTTATCATTAAGAATCTCTGCATGTAACTTCATTGTTCTTAGTTAGTTTGCATAGTGGATTGTACTTTTTCAATAGATGTGTATCTAATGTGTTTCTGTTCATTTTTTCCTTAAAAAACCCAGTTATATGCTTGAGTTTTTGGGCTGAGGTGCACTACAACTCGATATATCCAGAAGGAGGTACAGTTTGTCATTTAGATACCGTGTTCATCTAGGAGTGTCTCTTTGGCGGATTGATGCGGTAGCTCACCAGTGCATGTTTGTGGTGCAGAGTTACCAGTTATGGAGAACAAAAGGAAAAGGTGGTGGCATTTTTAGATCAGCAACTGGTGTACACTCCATTGGGCTGGGTACACTCCATTTGATTTGATTTGATGTTGGTTAGATCAGTGGCCATTTTGTTGGGGCTATATGTCAGTGTAGGAATGTTGATTTGTGAGTGTACATAACACATTTAGTCAGGAGGAAGAATAGCTGTGACAATAGATGAATGTATCATGTATTGGATATTATTGATGTTATATAGGGTCACTTAGAGTTGGGTTTAGAATAGAGTAGCTGGGTGTGGAGCTATCTAAACCTCTTCTCTGTCTCTAATTTATTTTGCAACATGTTTGGTTGAAATCTAACTCTACGAGAGGTGAAGCTAAAGCTTTACCAAACAAACCCATACGAGAGGTGAAGCTAAAGCTAAACCCACAGGAGTATGTTAAGAAGAATCGATTCTTTTCTTCTGACGTAATGCAGTTTGCATATTATACCACTCGCTTTAATCATAGATACACGATGGTCATACATATATTATGATTAGGACAGTCAAACCTTCAAAATTTTAAACATAAACAACTTCTGAAATACTTAGTTTAAAAACAAAAGAGCGGTACTAATAGATATGATACTATGATAGTACTTTTCAAGACATATGCATTGATATTTTTTTAGAGGAAGAGACAAAAAAAAGAAAACTAGCATTTAAAAACTTTTTATGGTTGATATCTCACAGGTTTGACACAATCTCTTTTAAGCTTTAAATATTTATAACTGGAAAGAGTGTATTTTTGCCAAGAGATACGAACTAGACACTCTTTTATGTTGATAGCGCTAGACGTCTAATGTGCACGTCCAAATTAAAAAAAGAAGCCTGTCTCCACAAACTTAATTTAATTTAATTCCAGAGAAGATTAGAGGCCACAAATGATATATGGTGCTACCTTCAACTTAAAATATACTAGCAAGTTTTTTTTTTCAAATATATACTACGTAGTTAGATGTTGCCATATTTTAAGACGGATGGAATAGTGGTGTGTAGTTTCAAAATTGAAATCGAGATCAGAGCGAGTATATGCAACATTTTGTTTTTATTTGACTCTGAATATGAAAGTATGCATATGTAAAAGGAAGAGTAAATTTCATAAAACTACATACTATATTACCAAATTATTGTAAATCTACAGGTGTAAGGTGGCGTATCATAAGATTACATATTTAACATTTTATTTATAAACAAATATAGTTTTAACACTAATTCTCTAGCACCAATGTTATGTTTGAGTTATAAACATGTAATAGTTGTGATTAAATTGCAGCTGAACTTGTAGTTTTGTGACAACTTTGCGATTTTCATCATTAAGTCTGCAGTGCTATAATAAATTAGGTTAGGTATTAACTTCCTATAGCTATATAATACATCACGTTGAATCTGTAGTTTTATGATAGTTTGGTGCAAGTAAATCTGTTTATTCTTAGGTTAAAATCTCTCCTACTAAATGCTTCGTCCATCTCGAATAAACAAAACAAATTCGAAATGTGACACATTGAAGTACTACAGTGAATCTCGACATGTGTTTTAGGGTTGTTTATTTTAAGACGGCGAAAGTATAATAAGAGAATTATTAGATTTGTTTCGTTCAATATGCACTAGGGTTGTAAACATATATTATGGATTCGACTCGATCATCGTATAGTTTTTGTAAAAAATATTCCGTAAAGAAAAGGAAAAGGTTTTAAATAGAAGCGTGTGGTAGGTGATGGTGAGGAAGAAGAGGAGAGGAGACACGCTTGAAACGGCGGAGGCCGGCCCGGAATGTTCTGGAAAACCACCTTTTCTTTCTCGCAGGAGTAGTATTTTTGAGGGTTTGGTTTCAACCAAAAAAAGTCCAAATCTGAAAACAAGAGAGAGATCACAGCAGCCGCCGCCATCGCCATCTCTCGGACGGAAACCCTAGACGAGCGACCATGGCCACCATGCCAAGCACTTGCGCCTCCTCCTCCTCCCTCTTCCTCCTCCTCCGCGTACGTACACCCTTTCCTTCCCTTCCTCTACCTAAACCCCTACTAAACCATGGATTGGATTCATTGATTTTGCTGCTGTTTCCAGAGGGACAGGAGGAGCAGCAGGAGTGCCAGCCTCCCCGGACCCGCCCGCCGTTTGGGGGTTGTGCGCGCCTCCGCCAAGGAGATCGCCTTCGACCAGGGATCGCGATCCTCCCTCCAGGCCGGCGTCGAGAAGCTCGCCGCCGCCGTCGCCGTCACCCTCGGTCCCAGAGGTTCTTACTTCCTTACCCTTTCCTCAAATACTAGTCGCTGTACACCATTTGTCCCTTGATCTTGTTGGTTTCTTTCTGTATGCACCTTATTAAGCCTTTTGTCCTTTTTTTTCATTCTGCTGCAGGCAGTGTCTGACTAATTCTTCTTGTGGTATTGTAGGAAGAAATGTCGTCTTGGATGAGTTTGGGAGCCCCAAAGTGGTCAATGACGGAGTTACCATTGCTCGAGCTATTGAGCTCGCTGATCCAATGGAGAATGCCGGTGCTGCTTTGATTCGTGAGGTAACAACAATCTTGCTCTCTCTCTCTCTCTCTGAGCTAAACATTAACATACTTACCTTGTTTCTTCTAATGCTTAAACCGTATGCATTCTCTGAATGTGTCTACTTTCTAACAACATTCACTCATTTCTGTCAAACAAAAGGTTGCCAGCAAGACAAATGACTCAGCAGGTGATGGGACTACAACCGCATCTGTCCTGGCTCGTGAGATCATAAAATTGGGCCTGCTGAGTGTTACTTCAGGGGCAAACCCAGTATCTATCAAAAAGGGCATAGATAAGACCGTGCACAGTTTAGTTGAGGAACTTGAGAAGAAGTCAAGGCCTGTGAAGGGCAGTGGTGATATTAAAGGTGAGCCGCCACATAGGAGGATTTCGGTCCTTTCTTTTGTATAAACCACATAGCTAGCTAGCGCCCTCCATGATGAAGGAATATCTAATCTTGAGCATTTCTCCTCTGTCTTTCCCTGTTTTAGCTGTTGCTGCCATATCTGCTGGAAATGATGACTTCGTCGGTACCATGATCGCTGAGGCTATTGACAAGGTTGGCCCTGATGGTGTTCTTTCGATCGAGTCATCATCATCTTTTGAGACCACCGTTGAAGTTGAAGAAGGAATGGAGGTAGGCAGCCTTGCTAGGATTGCTATCTTTCTGATTCCTTTTCGTGTCTGGTACAACAGTTCTTCTTGCTGCTGAAGTGGTTCTGCATTTTGGCGATATATTCTCTTCATTCATGCTAAAGTGGTTCTACATTTATCCCGTATGTGCAGATTGACAGAGGATATATCTCTCCTCAGTTTGTTACAAATCCTGAGAAGTCACTTGTTGAGTTTGAAAATGCTAGAATTCTTGTCACTGACCAGAAGATTTCTTCAATAAAAGAAATAATTCCTTTGCTGGAACAAACAACTCAACTAAGAGCACCACTCCTCATAATTGCGGAGGATGTAGCTGGCGAAGCTTTGGCAACTTTAGTTGTCAACAAGCTTAGAGGAATTCTCAATGTAGCTGCGATTAAAGCACCTGGCTTTGGTGAAAGGCGTAAGGCTCTTCTTCAGGACATCGCCATCGTTACAGGTAAAACTACTGGGCAGGCTTATTGGATTTATTTTTTCCCGTTCTCATGATGTTCCATGTTTGTTAACCAATAGCTCTCACGTCTTTGTTAACAAGTACTTCATCTTGCTACTCAGATATATATTCATCATTTGTTATCTTTTTACAATTATTTAGTATTTATGCAATACACAGACAGAGATGCTTACATGAATTATGACATAAACCTGCATTGCATAATCCAAATATTTATCATCTGGTTTATTGGCTTTGTACACAAGTCATTCTACTGCAATATAGGCAACATTAATGCATTTCTTTGCCATCTAGCAAAAGTGACGCGCTAACAAAGACTCTACTAATTGCCACCACCTGATTTTGTATTAGTTAAAGTGGTTGGAGCCAGTAAGTATGGTAAAGTCCGGAGACAGAACTGAGTTACCTGAACATAGAACTTTGAGAACATATCTTTCTTTTTCCAAAAAGCCTACAGCTTGTTTCATCCTGTGGTGTGCTCTATCTCTATTGCCTGTCTGATTTACTGTTTTTTAATGCGGTGTCTTTTGTTTCAGGTGCTGAATTTCAAGCCAAAGATCTTGGTTTACTGGTGGAGAGTACAACCGTGGAGCAACTTGGCATAGCCCGGAAAGTGACAATCTCCCAGTCATCCACTACCATTATAGCAGATGTTGCCACCAAAGATGAGATCCAGGCAAGAATTGCACAGCTGAAGAGAGAGCTTTCTCAGACAGACTCAGCATATGACTCTGAGAAGTTGGCTGAGAGAATCGCAAAGCTTTCTGGCGGAGTTGCGGTTATAAAGGTAGGAGCTGCAACCGAGACAGAGCTTGAGGATCGCAAGCTTCGTATCGAGGATGCCAAGAATGCAACATTTGCTGCTATTGAGGAAGGTATAGTACCTGGAGGTGGTGCGGCCTATGTTCACCTGTCAAAATTTGTACCAGCCATCAAGGAGAAGTTGGATGACCCTGAAGAGCGCCTTGGTGCTGATATCATTCAAAAGGTATTATTCCGCTTTAAAATAATTTTGCCAACATTTAAACCAAGGCAATGTAGTGTATGTATCGTGGTGGATGGCGTCTAGGTTTGCTTCAAAAGCAACAGATGTGTGGTTTCATGGAGTAAACCAAGTTTGGAACTTGAGCATTTTAGTGTAACAGTTTTTGTTTTTACTTAGTATGATATAGAGTAGTAATTGTTTTTGGGTGGTTTTGCAGGCTCTAGTGGCACCGGCAGCACTAATAGCACACAATGCTGGAGTTGAAGGGGAAGTGATTGTAGAAAAGATCAAGGAGAGTGAATGGGAGGTTGGCTACAATGCGATGGCTGACAGACACGAGAACTTGGTACAGGCTGGTGTGATTGACCCTGCAAAGGTGACAAGATGTGCGTTGCAAAACGCAGCCTCGGTGGCTGGAATGGTACTAACCACGCAAGCCATCGTTGTGGAGAAGCCAAAGAAGAAGGCGTCGGCGGCTTCCGGGGCACCAGAAGGTTCTCTTGCCATGTGAAGGAGGTGATCATATCTCCCATTCTATTCTACCTGTGGTGTGTGATTTTGCTACTGCGTCGTAACAACAAAACAGTACAAGATGTTTAGCAGAGGTAAACTTGTGAACAAGAAGAATAAATCAATCTAGTCCAAGTGAAGTGAGTAGCTGTGATGGTTTCCTTTTGATGTGCTCGTTTTTAGCAGTAGATGAATGCATGGATGTATGTGCGTGTGGTGGTATGGTGGTGGTTTTCAGTGATAGGCGAGCTGCTGATGCTGATGAATGAATAGGCCCTGGCTCTGGGCAAAAATACCATAGTTGATTGACGATGCCACGAAAAGAAGCCGATGGTGAGTCAAGACAGTAGCGTACCGTCCGTCGATCATCGCCGCAAATCCATGCTTTGCTTCCCTTCCCTTCCATGGAATGCTACATGCCTTATCCTCACTCTTACTCGGCCGCCAAATGCACCGCTCTGCACGCCTTATCCTCGTAAGCCTGAGTGAGGCCCAGCTGAGCCCCCACGAGAAGAAATCTCAAGTCTACACAGACAGGCACAGCCAAACCCCCTCTCTTCTCACCTACTAATTCTAACATGATCATTACTTCTGGCATTTGAGTTTTGTTCTATAATATACTATAATAAGTTCATTTTTAACTCCTTTTATTTATTTCACAATAAGTTTATTTTTAAAGTAATCACTGTATCGGAGTTTGTGAAAATAAAAAATAATTATATTCTGAGTAGATAAAGTAAAAAATGGTTGCATTGAGATTTGATAAAGTAGGACTATTCTAGATTTTTTTTTTTATTTTGTATTGGTATATGTAAGATGTGCGAAAAGATGAACTTATTTTGGAACGGAGATAATAGCTTTTTCTTCACATGTTTCCTTATCTCAACTAATTACAATCATATCTCATTTAATTTCACCATATTTCTTAATCTATCGGGAAAACATCACCCAAAGGTAGTAAAAAACCCAAAAATCTGACATTTTGACCCTTTCACAAAACTTATTTTATAAATGAACAATAAAATAAAATAGGCTTTTACCTCAGCGCCACGGGCCTTGGCGCTGAGGCCTAACATGCCAGCTCCGTAGGCCTTGGTGTTAAGATTAAAGGCTTAGCTCCATGTAGTTCAGTGCTGAGGAATATGCAAAATAATAAAAGGATGATCTATTTATTTGCAAGTTGAATTGAATAGCATAGTGGTGAGTTCCTTGATTGTTATAACTAGAGCGTTGCGGCTTTTTTTTTCGCACGGAAGTCGCATGTATCCCAGGAAGGAAAAAAGAGAATATTGCAGCACTGAGGTTTGAACCCTGATCTCCATGATCCATCAAAACACCATACACCACTACCAGTCTACTACACACAAGACATCACATGCGTTTAGGTCTATTACTATATTTCATAGTGTATTTCGAGGCCTCAACACTAAGGCCCGTGACGCTAAGGTAAAGACCTATTTTTAAGTTATAGTTTTTATCAATGTTTACTTATAGAATAAGTTTATCAAAAGGGTCAAAATGTCAAAATTACGGGTAAAAAACTAGAGCTAGTAGAATTCGTCCCAACAGCTGAGGAGAAAACAATATGCCGTACTATTGCTTCAATAGTGATATTACACTGTGAATATGAACAGAATTGTTGTTTTTCTTCTTAAGTCCAATTTTTAGCTCTTGAACTTTGTTCAGAGTCTCTTCACCAAAGACTATAAAACTAGTTATTTTTTGTTCTTAACTTTCAAAACCTGAGTAAAAAAGCACCCATTATATATTCTTTTAGTGTCTTTGTTTGGATCGAAGGAATGTGGTTTTGTTAGTTCATACTTTTATTACGCATATTTTGTTATTATAGATGTTACCTCAGTACGCCCACAACTATGAAACTTACCTAAATGAAAGTTCATCTTAAATGAAACCACTATTATATCGATCATAACTACTTTAAAATATGTCCCAGGGTGTTTTGCACTTGGTTTTAAAAGTTAAGGATGAAAAATAATCGGTGTTGTGGTTCTGGGAGGAAAAAAAGATAATTTTGTAGTTTAAGGTAAAAAAAACTAGAATTTAAGAAAAAGTTAAGGGCCACAGATGAATTTTACCGTTGTTTTTTTTAAAGAAAAATGATAATGGATTCTTGATGACAGATGCTGGAACTTGGGCCGCCACCGCCCAGTGCAAAACATATGACAGGGGAGGGATGGATGGTCCAACAAATCAGCATCGGGTCTCTTTTGTACTACAGCAGGAGCTCGGTCTCCTATGCCTGTGGTGAGTGATCTGATCTCTAGTACTCGTAACATATACTAATAATGAACAAAAAATGTATAATAACAGTATTATAATAAGTTGGTCCAACTCATCTCTCGTGATTATTATACATACCCAAGCTAATTGCTACACTTTGACCTGTCATCAATCTTTGGATTCCTTGACGTTAAGACCACTTTTTTTTTAAAAAAAGAATAGATAGGGTTAACTTAAGACCCGTGTTGGTGTTGGAGAAGGAATATAACAAAATTGCAAAGGTGGGAGCAAGTGGTGGGCAATATGCCATGTAGTAGTAGATATATAAGCAAAAGTAGGAAGGGAAGGGAAGTAAGACATAACTTGAACCGGAAGGAAGGATGATATGCTAATCACCTTAATTGGTACTGTATGGGAAAACCAAAAGCACTGGTATACTCCCTTCAACCTTTTCTTTTAAGTCAGTTAGCTTAAAATTGAACTAATTAACATTAAACATTTGTGGAAGGAGGTAATGGTACAATATAATGGTAGATGAATAATAATAAGGGAAGAAAAACTGGAATAGAGAGGGGGAAAAGGAGGAGACAAAATTTCATCTCTCTCTTTTTTGCTTTATCTTTTGTTTATAAATAAATCTTTGTTTGGCTCGGGTTCCAAGAAAGTCCAGCCTGCCATGATCAAGCTGACTGGTAGGTGGGCCCTCACTAGAATCACGTGCGCCTCGTCCTCCCTCTTTCTATTTGCTCATGACTTAGAGTTGGAGTTGGAGAGTGGAGTAGCTTGCTGGGGCTTTTCCCCTCGCAGCGCAGGCCGCTGCTTCTTCTTCTTCTTCCTTCCAAATTGCAAATCGCAATGCCAAAGCCGTCGCGGCATCCAATCTTCTCCTTCTCCTTCACCTCCACAAGCTAGGAGTAATAAGCTACTAGTATGTACTAGTTGTTGCTTGTTACTAGTACTAGCTAGCTACTGGAGTACTCCTAGTAGGCAGTAGGCATATGGACCCGTACCGGTCATCGTCTTCGTCGGCGAGCAGCCCCGCCGCCGCCCTCGCCATGGGCCGCCGCCATTACTACCTGCCCGCCAGGCCCGCGCGACCCATCTCCTTCGAGGACTCCCCCGACTGGGCCGACGACGACGTCGACTCCATCCACCTCGCAACCGCATCGGCGTCGGCGTCCCTTCCCACCACCGCTTACCCCTCTCCGAGTCCGACGCCCTCCTCCTCCTCCGCCGCCTGCAGAGGAGGAGAGCGCAAGGTGGCCGGTGCCACCCTGGTGTGGAAGGAGCTCAGCGTCTCCCTCACTCGCTCACGCTCAGGCTCAGGCTCAGCTGACCGCCGCGTCGTCAAGAGCTCCACCGGCTACGCGCTCCCAGGCACCCTCACCGTCATCATGGGCCCCGCCCGCTCCGGCAAATCCACTCTTCTCCGGGCAATCGCTGGCCGCCTGCGCCCCGCCGAGCGGATGTACGGCCAAGTCTTGCTCAACGCCACCAACACACGCTTGCCTTATGGATCTTATGTATGTTATATATGCGCCCCCTTCTTTATGCTATTTCAATTCCATCCATATATCTTTGCTTCATATTTAATTTCTTCCTTGTTTTTTACTAAGCCTTGTTTAGTTGGAGAAAATTGTTGTCACATCGGATATACGGACACACATTTGAAGTATTAAACGTAGTCTAATTACAAAACAAATTACAGATTCCGTCAGGAAACTGCGAGACGAATTTATTAAGTCTAATTAATCCATCATTAGTAAATGTTTACTGCAGCACCACATTGTCAAATCATGGCACAATTAGGCTTAAAAGATTCGTCTCACGATTTACACGCAATCTGTGTAATTGTTTTTTTTTACCTACATTTAATACTCTATACATGTGTTAAACATTCGATGCGACAGCGTGAAAATTTTTGTTTTGCGAACTAAACAGGGCCTAAATTAAATTAATTACATGGCTTTTTATGCCTTCTGTTGGAGACTTGCAGGGTTTTGTTGATCGACACGATGTGCTAATCGACTCTCTCACAGTACGGGAGATGCTATACTACTCCGCGCACTTGCAGCTTCCGGGCCTATTCTCCTCAAAGACCTCCATAGTCGAAGATGCTATCGCAGCCATGTCCTTAGCTGACTATGCTGACAACCTCATTGGTGGCCACTGTTTTATCAACAGCCTCCCAGCTGGAGAACGGAGGCGCCTCAGCATTGCAAGAGAGCTAGTGATGAGACCACACGTTCTGTTTATCGACGAGCCTCTCTATCATCTTGACAGGTTTGTTTCATTGCCATTCCATAGGGATCAAAGTAACTATTGCTGCTTTCTCTCCTCTCATATCTTTGTATATCACAATCCCAAGAAAAAAATTGCCAGCTTCAACTATTTCTGTATGCATGAGAATGTTTGACTTTCACATGCGCGCTAATATGACAATCAGTACAATCCTATTTGATAGATTAGTAGATCCAGCAGTCATATGTGGATGCTGTCTTTGCATATGTACAGAGTTAAAAAGCGCAACCCTGTTCTTTTTTCTTTTGCTGCAGTGTTTCTGCACTTCTACTGATGGTAACATTGAAGAAACTTGCGAGCACAGGATGCACAGTCATCTTCACAATGTATCAAAGCAGTACAGAAGTTTTTGGACTTTTCGATCGAATCTGCTTGCTTTCAAATGGGAATACACTCTTTTTTGGAGAAACATTGTCTTGCCTACAGGTATCTTTTTGTACATTTTACATGCATTCCCATTTTAGCACTTGGTTGGAATTACAATATTCTGTTGGGAGTGTTCTCAGTATGGCTGTCACCTTGATGTAATTCAGTAATTGTCTCGTATCAATAGAAGCTTCCTTTTATCTAAGAAAGGTATTGTTTGGATTAGAACTATTGAGTTCTGTAGTTTGGATATGTCGGTCATGAAAGTTGCTCTAAAATTACATGGCTAGTTTTTGTAGAGGAATTTACAGGACTAATTAGTTCAGTACTTGAGCATGATTGTGTTTACTGGAGGACACTAAATCAGAAACCCATGCCAGGCTCCAAGTAACATTGGTAGTAAGTAATCAAAGAGTCCTGTGCAAAATAAACTGTACTAGTTAGTAACAAGATAATAATAATAATAATAATAATAATAATAATAATAATAATAATAATAATAATAATAATAATAATAATAATAATTTTCCTTAATACAATGATGCGCTGCTTGTGTATTACCAAATTTTTTTTTCCTGATTTGTTTGTCGTACTCTCATCCGATGCCTTGTGCACAATTCTTGTTTTGCCTTTTCCTGTTGCAGCACTTCTCAAATGCTGGCTTTCCATGTCCAATCATGCAAAGTCCATCTGATCACTTCTTGCGGGCAATCAATACTGATTTTGACAGAATCATAGCCATGTGCAAAAATTTGCAGGTATCTAATAGACCCATCTTGACATGAGATTTCATTTTTATTTCCGACCCGTTACTCAAGTCAATGCAGAAATATTCTTTTGTAGTAAGAGATAAAAACCTTTGTAGTTACTAACAGGATGATCAAGGGGACTTTTCATCAGTGAGCATGGACACAGCTGTGGCAATCCGTACGCTGGAAGCAACATACAAGTCATCAGCTGACTCTGTTGCTGTTGAATCACTGGTTGCGAAATTGATGGAGAAGGTACCTGTTGCTAAACACACTAGAAAAGGAAATGAGTTATCTCATTCTTTCATCCTGCACATTGTACATAATTGTTTCAGACCATGGTCAGTTAAAATGATGTAATCACCTCGCTTTGGATTTATTTTTACAATGGAGAAATATCATTATGCATCCAACACATTATGCGCATTAATATATATATTTATATATTGATGCATTGAAGTCGCCTTCTTCCATATACTCTAATTAAGTAATTGTTTGGCAGTTGGCACAGCCACAAAGATTGTTGCACATCTTTCTGGATGTTGTTATAATGGTTTACAACCTGATGCTCCTGTTCCCTTTGGAGAATTTTGGTTGTGCTCCAGCCTCCAATCAAGACACAGCTAGCAACAGGGAATACGGCAACCTGGTTGTCCTGGTGTAATCTAAACCACACTAATTATGGGGGCCTTAAAATCCAGTACAATATAGTTTAGGATAGTTAGTACTACTACCCAGTATTGCAGTGCACATATAATTGATGTTGTGTGGTTTTACATTAATCCGTCCCCTTCTTTTTTCTTACATGATGTGCTGCAGGAAGGTCCTCACTTGAAAAGTAAAGGCAGAGCCAGTAATACAACACGAATCGGTGTTCTCACCTGGAGATCATTGGTAATAATGTCAAGAAATCGGAAATATTTCTGGAGCAGATTTGCCTTGTATATGCTTCTTGCCCTCTCAGTCGGCACCATATTTAACAACGCTGGTCATTCATTATCATCTGTAATGGTTAGTACCATTACTCTGTTGCGTTTGAATCTATTAAATGTATGATATGATGATAAGACTACGTTGTTTCAACAGGTAAGGGTTTCTGCAATATTTGTGTATGTATCATTTGTCATCCTTCTAAGTGTTTCTGGAGTTCCTGCCCATATTGATGAGATCAAGGTGAAAGTTTTGGTCTTTACCACTTCATTCTTATTTGTGTTCTTTATTGTTAACAGAGTAATTCTTTTTTTTTTTAATACTGAGACATAGTCCTACTGTTACTTATGATATATAGTACACAACTACACATTAACAAAAGAAAAGGTACTAGGTTTGTCCAGGCACTACAATCTATTAATATCGCAAATTGTTTTCATCCTATATATGCAGATATATTCCCATGAGGAAGCGAATCAGCATTCGAGTACAATGGTTTTCCTGCTAGGGCACTTCCTGTCCAGTATTCCGTTTCTATTTCTGGTCACTATTTCGTCATCGCTGGTTTTCTACTTCCTGATAGGACTCAGGAATGAGTTCAACTTGTTTATGTATTTTGTGGTGACCATGTTCATGTGCCTGTTGGCAAATGAGGCACTTATGATGATTGTTGCTTACATCTGGCTCGACACTTACAAGTGCACCTTAACTCTCATTTGCTTATACGTAAGCCTACCTTTTGCTCGTCATTTTAAGAAGAAATAGTATGTGTCAGTTGGATCAATGTTGAATAACAATACTTGTGCCATTGATTCAGGTTATCATGATGCTTGTGGGTGGATATTTTCGAATCCGAGGGGGTCTACCGTGCACAGTATGGAAGTACCCATTGTCGTACGTTTCGTTCCATGTGTATGCAGTTGAGGTAATAAGTGGGGAAATTTCTTTCTTTGTACTAGTAATAAGTATTATGGATGATTGGGGTTGGGAAACATATAGGGAGAGCGAGTGATAATAACAATAGTGGTGCGTGGGTGCAGGGTTTGCTTGAGAACGAGTATGTGGGCACATCGTTTGCGGTCGGTGCGATAAGGACGATACCAGGTGTCCAAGCAGTTGGGGGCTCATACGACATCTCGTCTTCAGCAAACGCAAAGTGGGTAAATCTGCTGGTTTTGTTTGTGATGGCAGTTGGATACCGTGTTGTTCTCTACGTGTTGCTTCGTCTGAATGTAAGGAAACACATGAGGTTGCTTGGCAGCTGGTGCTGCTGGAGCTGGACACCGCAAAGTGACTACTACTCCAGTAACTAGTGTGCCGTCCAAGTAGCCTCTGTCTAATGAATGAATCCAGGTGACTCAACTGACTCCTCGTCTGCCATGTACCATCATGTAGAGTACAAGGGGGCGAAATGCATGCACATGTATATTCATTCTTGATCATGCTTACATATGCCGTACTGTGTCTGTCTATGTATGTTTGTACTATGTATCACAGACGGACATACAGACGGTTTAGTTTGGGGATTGAATTGAAGATGATATTATCTTGTTGTCCTGAGTATGTATATGTTCCATTTTTCTCTTGTTGCCGCCTCCTTTCAGTCCTCCATGGACTGCACCTTCGTTTTTGGGCTCTATACAGCACATTGTTGAAGGCTGGTCGAACTCCTCTCTCCGCACAATGGGCTAAGGCCCAATTCTGACATTCGATGCGTTCTTCTCAGTACATATCAACCATTACCACATGACCTTTTCTTTTCTTTCCTTTTTTTAACAAAAAAACACTGTGTGTTCAAGGGGAGGGTGAAGGAAAATAACAAAGATACCCATATGCATATGGACTACCCATATAAAATAAATAATATTACCTATCTCTACTTCGATCTTGTCATATACATTGGTTATGTCCTAATTAACTCATTTAAAAAGAAGACTACCACACTAGTAGTATGTTGATGATGAATAAATGTGATCATATTTATACAACATATTTTAGTATAGCATAAGTGGAAGTTGAATACGAAAGACCTTGTCTATAGGAGGTTTAAGATTGTGAGAATTAGTGGGTGACTATTTAACTGATGAGAATCTTAAAAAGGAAAGGTGAGGTTCCCAACTTTTGGCTTCTAGTTTATTCTGTATACTCTATATCTATATTTTTTTCAAAGTCGGTGTGGGAATCTGAAATAAGCTGTAATTAGCATAAGCTCTCCCAAAGGAGAAAAAGAAACTGCGGAGCAATGAGAAGAAAAGGCAAATGAATAGAGGAGGACACAAAGAGGTAGCAGAAAAAAAAAGAAATAAAATATAGCAACTTAGATATGTCCTGAATTGTAATAATAAGATGGGTCTACTCCGATTGTAGGTTACTATAATTTAGGACGTTGGTAGTATCAAGTATGATGAAGGAGCACGTATGGAATAAAAAGAAGGGATTGGTGTTTTTGGTGTTGAAATCTAAGGAAAAGAAAGCATGAAAGAAATACATAATAACCAATATCGTGCTGGTATCTGCATGCTAGATAATATAAAAAAAAGTTGTTGTAACAATTTTAAAAAAAAGAGTGGCTGGACAGAAATAGTAGGGAATATTATGTGGCGTTTATAATTCAGTAGATCCATATACATTGGTTGGGTTTGATAGTGTTACAACATTAGTAGTAGACAGGGTTTACGATTGTGATATAGCCTACCATTCCGAGCCCTGGCGGTATGATGGTTTTCGTCAAATCTGGCGGTAAAATTGTGAAAATGTCATTTCCTATAAATTTGATAACCCCCCATTGACATACACACAATATGTCATATATATTCATAAAAAGCAATACATATCACTCACCAACCATTGGCTAAATAGAATGCCCATCACCTAAATATTAAAGTCTGAAAGGGTTTTATTACTACATAATATTAATATTAGAGTCCATTTAATTTGGCCCATGAAAGGGTTTTCCTTTTTCTAAATGATTGTTATTTTCTTTCCTATTGTAAAGTTCAAGAAATGCAAGGAATAACCATTCTTTTGCAAAAAAAAATATATATCCCAATAGGCTCTATGAATATGAAACTACTTATAGGATTTTATTTTGAATTTTTTTTCCTTTTTTATTAATTTAAATTTAAATTTGGATGAACCCATCGAAATTTCAGACATCTACTACTTCTGTGCCATGTCGAAACCTCGGTTTTCCGCGAAATTTGATCGGTTTTCGTCGAAATTGGGAAGCCTGGTAACATAGTTGTGATTGTCCAATGCAACATGATGAAGAGGGGAATAAGCAAAGAAAGGAGGAGAAAAAAGTGGGGGCGTCGGATGAAGCGAAGGGTGAATGGATGGAAGGGAGGAGAGGAGTAGCCTAGGAGGACTAGGGAGGAGTATTAGCGTTGCGCCGCCCTTAGCATATACTAGTTGTTTGTTTAGTTGGGGGCGGGGGAAGGGGAATCCAATCCCATCCATCCATCCATCCATAACCTCTCCTTGCTCCCACGGACGGACGGAAGGATCGATCACCAACTCCAACTCCAACTCCAACTCCTCCTCCTCCTCCTCCTTCCGCCGCCGCCGCCGCCAGAGCATGGAACCCTCCGCCTCCGCGTCGGCTGATCCGCCCAGGAGGTCTCCATGGAGGCACCCCTCCAACGGGGGCAACCCCAACCCCAACGGAGACGCCGTCATCGACACAACTAGCTGGCCCGCGCTCTCCGAGGCCGCCAGGAACCCCCCCAAGCCTCCTCCTTGCATCGACTCTCCATCCGAGGTCTGTCAGATGAGATCCCTTTCTTCTTCTTCTTTTTCTTACCATCGCATCGCATCGTCTCTGCTTATGGTGGATGGATGTATCGTGGTGATGATATACATACAGGGGCAGGGCAAGCAGTCGTCTCGCCACAAGCCGGCCAGGCGCGGGGGTGCCGGTGCCGACCACTCCCCCTCCCCACGGGATGACCGCGCCACCAGCTGGGACCATGGCCGCCACCACCACCACCACAACAGTGGTGGTAGGAGGGGCTCTTTTGGCGGCCGCAGGAGAGGAGGAGGAGGCGGGGGTTTCGACGCCTTGTACCGTGCCCCTATTGGCCCCTATGTGCGTGGTGCCACTGCGCCCCCGCCCCCGCCCCCGCCTCCCATGGCCGTTGCTCCTCCCCCCTTCCTTCCTCCGCCCTTACGACCTTTCGCGGCACCTCTCCTCTTTCATCACGGTAGGTTTTTTTTTCTCCTTCTCCTTTGTATCATTTTTCATCATCATCATCCTAATTAATCTTAATCTTCTTCTTCATTCATTCCCACCAGATATGGCATCGCCCGTCTCTCCTGTTTCCCCAATCTACTATGTTGGCCCTCCCCCTCCTCCAGAAGCTCTTAGGCCTTTGCCTCCTTTCCCCCCTACCATGCTTGCTCCACCTGCTTACCCTTACTACCACCCTCAACCTCAACCCGACCCCGAGCCCGAGCCTGATGCTGATCCTCAACAACATCGTGCCAACCTGCTCAAACAGATTGAGTTCTACTTCAGGTCATCTCTACTCTTCTCTCTTTATGCATCAACCATTTCTCTATAGTGTTGACAATGCTCATGTTTTTCCCTCCCTCCACAGCAAGGATAACTTATGCACAGATGTTTTCTTGAGGAGAAATATGGATGACCAGGGCTGGGTTAACATTGCTCTTATAGCTGGCTTCAACAAGGTCACCATACATATTCCTTTTCCTAATCTAACCATTACCCCTTCTCTCCCTTTTATTTATATGCCTATTTCCTATAATTGCCATGTTGCCAGTCATTCATTGTTTCGATTCCTCTATCCTAACTTTTTTCTCTTCTGTGCTCTTATTCTTCTTAACACAATCTCCTGGCACATTTTTTGGGGACACAATTTTAAACCGTTTCTAGGTACCCCGTTTCCCAATTAAATAACTTCAGAGTTTAGACTCATATCCTTGGATAGTCATCTGTTGCTTTTTTACTTCTTTACGTTCATTAAGTTCACCTTGGCTAAAATTAATTCATGCATTTGTCCTGCCAGTAGTAATAATGGCTTAATGATGGTCGCACCTAGAATATCGTGCTTTCCCCCCTTTTACATTGCATGTTTTGGATGTTTCTCTAGAAATTTACTGTCTGCTTGTTACTATCTTCGCGAATCCTAGCTTTTATAAGGGCATGATCAAAGCCGATGATCGTAAGCTATGTCCTCCATCACGATCTCGAATGAAACTATCCATGGAATCGTGCGCCGTGTATTTTGTTCCTTAATATCTAATATAATGTTCCACTATGTAATATACAAGCCTACTTCCATTTCTGTAGCAGACGGGCACTTCGTTACAGGAGCCGCCTATAGATATTAATTAATTGGAGTGAAATATCCCCAGCTCAAACCCATGTTTTGGAAGTTGATTTGGCAGTTTTAGATGTGATCTGGATGGTTCAGAGTAGTCGGGTTTACTCTAGAAATGTGAATTTTCTTAGTCGGGTTTACATGGAGGCTCGACCTTTGGTGCTAACAAAATGTGCATGAGTTCTGCTCCTTTGGTGCTAACACAATGCGCATGAGTTCTGCTGAGCTGCTCAGGTTATATGAGATCACGTGAATTATTGGCTTGTCATGTTGCGGTGTTGCAATGAATTGCTGTTTAGCCCTTAAAAAGTGATTGTTTGTTTTGATGTTTACTTGGCTGTTCTCGTGGGGGCATAGATTTGTTTGATTCTAATAGAAACGGTTTTTTATGGTCATCTGTCCAGACATAACTTGCCATTCTGTTCTATATGGTATTGTTTACCCACCATTCATATGTATTGATTATATTTATATTCGATGCTTTGTCCTTGCTTTCTTCCCATTCATTCCTCTTGGTAGAGGAAGTCTCTGGCACTTCATGGGAATTGTGTAATGAATGCCAGTTAGTTTGAGCTAATTGGTTGTGATGGCATCAAAATCATCATGCGTCTTCTAGTTCCTGCATAGTAAGTGCACATCTCAGAGTCACGTGGCATGACTTAGTTGTTCTTTGTGTATGTTTTGGCCCTATGGGCTGTGGTTTGATTTAGTTGTCTTGCATCCCAAAAAACAATGCAAAAGTTGTGCCCTTTTGTATATATATTTTAGTTCCTTTCTTTACAATGTGAATCCTTTTTTAAATTCATGTACTCCCACCATCCTATATCCACTAATATATGACTTGCATGAAGTTGATCAAAGTATATGTATATTTGATGTACACCATTATGCCAATGGATTTGTATTTTAAAATGATTTCATATGATTTTGGTTTTATACCGCCCTTTAATGTATATTTTTTAAGTAGTCCATTATTAGATTATGATCGAAATCTAAACAAACACAAAAGTGGATGCAGGGAGTATCACTTTATTAGTGTGTGCTACTAGATTTAGGTGTTAAAAACTCTATGATTGATATCAAAGGCTAGTGTACACTATGGACAGTTCATACTTTATACCCAAGCTGTTAGGATTAAGTTCCTTATGAGCTGCCATGCCGTGCTTAAAGTCCCATTATATGTCAGCATAAAGAAATAAAAAAAATGTCAGCTTTCTGAACTGAAACGCCACTTAAGAACATAGAATAACACCTTGTTTTGCAAAGGAGAAAAAAGGTCAATTTGTGCCTTTTACCCTTAAAATTTAAGTTGCATACAAGCTAGCTTCCTTGGGATTTTAAAGCTATATCGTATTTCTTAGGAGCTATCTTTATATTTGAAAGCTATTCCTTTGTTGTGGTTAAACATTAAATATTTCTTATTTTGGTTAATATTAAAACAGACGATTTACAATCATTTTGGTCGATCAAACTTTAATTCATGTGTGTTCTGTTGGGGGTTTTTAAATAGTTTAGAACTTTTTTAAGTTAATATTTTTTCACAAATTATGTTCAAATCAAATTACTTGTGTTTAATTACTACTACCTCCGTTTCAGGTTATAAGACTTTCTAGCATTGCCCACATTCATATAGATGTTAATGAATCTAGGCACACATATATGTCTAGATTCATTAGCATATATATGAATGTGGGCAATGCTAGAAAGTCTTATAATATGAAACGGAGGAAGTATATATGATATATCTACTATGAAGTCCTAGCTCAACCAGCATTGCAGTTGGATGTGAGGTAGACTAAATGAAACACTTTTAATGCACTGGTTTGCATTTATCATATCATTACAAATGATGCTGTTAGCATGCTAGCATGTAGATAGAACCGATGGTTTGTGCACTCTTTCTTCATTGCTAAGAGGTGTGCAGTGTTTTTTTTTCCCCATTTTTGCCTCCTTCGAATGTATTTTTCTCCATGCAAGGTATCATTGTGCACAAATACAGCATCATGTTAGTGTGTCACACATTCTGTAATATACTTGAAAATGAAAAAGAAAAGGTAGACTGGTGGACATAAACATGCAATTCATCACTTAGGTCATTTGGAAAACATAGCATTGCGGGCTGTTGGTTTCTCTTCTTTAGTTAATATACACTAGGTTCTTTGATGAATAGCAAAAAGATCACACAAGCTACAGTTGCCTGCTGCTTTACGTGGTCTATACAATCCCTTCCCCCATTGTTGCAACTGTACTGGTTCATAAATGTGTATCCACATAAACAATTGAGTTGTACACCTTGTATTATCACATCATATTAATTTGAATCTCCTGGTTCTAGTTTTTAAAACAATTTTTTAACATAGAAAAAAACATGAGAATGAAAAGATGAGACTAAAGACAAACTGAGTCAAAGGTTGAAAATCAACATCAATGGAAAAAAAAATCATCTAATGATACGCACCGAGTGATCACGGATCATAGTTCCCATAATGGACTCGTGGTCTGGAGCTACAGGCTACATGCTATTTCTATACACTTCGTGTTATATATTTGGACAATTTCTTGTTGTGTGGTTGAAGTATGCATAGTCCTCAACTCCTCATAAAGCAAGCTACTTGATGGAAGAAGCAGAAAACTCATGTGTTTCGAATTATTGTGCTTATGTACTTTATCTATTACACGTGAAAGCATACAGCTTAATCTGGAAATTACTATTATTCTTTTGATTTTACATGGTAATTGCATAGCTGCAGTGTGTTACTTACTGGACGCTTGCATGTAGTTGCTTGGCACTACCTATTTCATTGATTGTTTTAATCCTGTTTTTCTTTTAACTTTGCTGGAAAGTTTTATTTTGCAGGTCCAGGAATCCACTGATGACCTGCAATACATAAAAGACACAATCCAGTCCTCATCTATACTGGAAATGCAGGTACTAATCTCATCTGACATCCAGTTTCTTTTATTTCACAACAGGCTGTTGAATTGTCGTTTAGAAAATAAAAAGAGCATAAACATGGGACTGATGCTCCCTTTTCTAATGGCACAGTGCTAGCCTTTTGGGATATGCTTGAAACTGGAAACGTTCCCCCCTGCTTATTTAGGTCTTTGTGCCCCTTTGTCATGCAGGATGACAAAATTAGGAGGCAGAATGATTGGAACAAGTGGGTGATTCCTCGAGAGAGCAACACTGACGTGCTGCCAAGCCCTAACATCAACAATCTGACAGCACATCTTGGAAGCGTGGGTCTGCAGGAATCAGCAGCTAGCTCAAGTAGCATGGTGGATGAAAACCATCATGAGATTCTTACCAATGGACCAACTTCCGGTAACAACCAAGCACCAGTAGTTGAAGACGGTGCTGGTAAGCTCTAGCTATGATGGTACACATTGGCTCCAATCTGGCCCATGCTATGACTACAAGGGTTTTGTCCGAGCGCGAGTGACAAATGTTTTGCAATTTTTTGATGGCGGTATGCTTGCGGGGCGCACTGACTAGTGAGTTCGTTTCTGGGGGGGTTTCAGGTAAGGTTCTTTTTGTCTACCCTGTTATTGAGGTACCGTGAAGGTTTCAGCCTTTCAGGTGGTTGGTAAAAAAAAAAAGAAGTGCTGTAGCTGAAACAAAAGACAGCAAACAGAAGGCATATGTAGAGGCATCAAAGAAGATGAGGGGGGTGGGGGGAGCCATTGGACATAATGAATGAAAGACGATGGTGCGCTAAGTTAAAAGGCACTCGAGTGCTTAATATTGCAACTGCTGAATGGCCTTTGGGCTTGCGTGACTATGGGCCTGAAGTGTGCTGTGAACCATGTCGGTTTTCTCCCCCTGTTTGGATGTAACCCTCCAATTTTTAAAGGAGGATCTGAACTTTCTCGCTCAGAGAGTCAGGAAGTTGACAATTCGACAAGGATCTTTTGCAACTCAACTCGTTGAAGTAGCGTTTGAATGTTACAAGTTTTGCTAGAACTATGCATGATGTTTCCTTGGGTGATTGTGAAAGCCAAGCCTATTGGGAATTTGTGATAAGATGGCGATCCCCCATATTGAAACGATTTTCTGTAGCTCAAATAATTTATTGCCTTTTGATGAGCTCTCTGCTTTGTACCGTCTGACGAGATTTTAGCCGTTGCTTGTTGTTAATGGTTTTATTACATCCAGTAGCAATGTGCTCCTGCATAACGGGGTCGGCAGGCACACATTTACTACTGAGATACTGTATATGAGAAGTGTATCCATGGCGTCATTCATTGGCAAGAAGAAGCACCTGTAGACCCAAAAAGAAAAAAAAAGGGACAAGTGCCTGACTGACCCTGCAGAGCGGCCTGTTTGAAGGTGCAGTGCAGGGGGAGGGGGGGCATGTGGATTGATGGTGCAGCTGTCTCTTGATTTGGTCGATGGGGTCGTGCCTAATGTTAACGGCAAACAGGTGGCGCGCGCCGTGCGTTTAGTTTGCCTTTGATGATAGAGCATCCATCTCATGTGCAACAGTCATCGCCGCCTCGACAACCTGATGCTGATGATGCTCCAGTAATGTAGTATAGTTATTAGTAGAAGAGATACTCCATCTCAATAAGCTTCAGTAATGTGTACAAGTAATAAATAGTAGGCTGCTGCAGGTACAGTAACCATATACTGGTGAGACCGGCCATAATAATGTCTTATCATCCACCCGTGCTTTTCAACTACTAACCGCTCTCTCGCTAGCGTCCTTGTTGCCATAGTTGTAGCTAATTTTCCAATGGACGTCGGCTGCGTTCGTTCCTTCTTTTTTTGAAGGATACTGGAGTTTTAGTACAGCTTTAGGAGAGCGAGCAACTGTACTTGTATACTGTAGATGAGTGAGAAATTGGAGCTTACTAGCACTAGCTAGGCTGGCTTTGGCAGACAGCAGGTACTGTTGAGCGTTTGGTGCCATTAATGATGGATGCATCCATCGAATATCTATTTCTGTGGAGTATCTCGATCAATAGGATCTGGCCCCTATAGCTACCATTCATCATTCTTCCTATCTATAGCGTATATTTATCGATCAATCTTTCTTCCTAGATAATGCATGCTGCCGGTCTTAATCCGCGTTCCTTCCGCTCGATCATAAATAATTTGACGTTTCAATAAGATTCTATCAAATTTTCAATATCATTTGTAATAAGTTTATAAATTCTACTGTAGTATTATGATATTCCCTTTTTTTCTTAAATACTCCATCCCTCCCAAAAATATAAGCTGTGTGTATTTCAAGATTCAACTGTCGTAATATTTAACTAACAATTAGTCTAATTAAATCAACTTTTATTTGATGAAAATAATATTATAAGATTGACATTTGAATGTACATTTCCGATTGTTGTGATTCTATTGTTACAAACATAGTACTTAATTTAATTTATGACAAATTAAAAGTCGATCAAGACTAGATTTAAAGACCACGCCAAATTTAGTAAGTTACATTTTGGGTCCGAGGGAGTATAAACATTTGCATTTTGTTTAGCAAAGATTAAAGATAAGTGGGAAATATTCCATTCTGTCATCCCATTGCTGAATTCTTAATTTTCAATAGCTTAGATTATCTCATAAGCACCTGATTGGTTAAAAATGTTTTAGATTCATGTGTATTGGAATTAGTCAATCAGTGTCCCTGAAATTCTTATAATGTACTACATCCGTCAAACTAGATGAGATATTTTCTAGTACAATATATGTGGACAAGGAATCTGTCTAGATACATTGTACTATGAAACATCTCATCGAATTCTAAGTTCTTATATTTTGAGACGAATGGAGTATATAATTGTTTTTTTTCCAACGGCTTACAAGAGAAATAGAATCTTCGAAAACATGAGCTATATATATTGAAATTAATTTGAAATTATCTAAAAAAATATTGAAATTAATTTGATTATTACGCGTATATATATGATCTGAACGCCTACCGTGTTCTGATATGATCGATACGAGATGATAATCAACTGCTGCAGCCTGCAGGGTGGAGTACAAGTCGTTGTTGGACGCATAATATAATTTTTTTTAGAGAGACCGCGCAATATAATAATTAATTAAGCGCGTGGTAACGTCATGAAATGAATTAGAAATAGTTAATGCCCACAAAACTAGCCTGTTCGTACGTGGCTAGCTAGCTACATGCATGCTTGGCATTTTTAAATTCCATCCTAATTTCCCAGATGACCACTGGATGATCGGTTAGCCGGCCGATCAACCTACTAATTGAGCGTACCAGCGTATATACGTACCAAACACACGCACCCATGGCCAGTGCTAACTGGATTGATCTCGCTAGTACCTTAGCTAATGCTTCCTCCCTTTCATATTATAAGACTTTCTAGCATTGTCCACATTTATATATATTCATTAACATATATATGAATGTAGACAATGCTAGAAAGTCTTATAACCTAAAACGGAGGTATTATATTGTACTCTTCACCCTAAAATATACTTCATCCATTCCAAAGTATGAAAGATTTTAAATGAATGGATCATATTTTTTTCAGATTCATAATATCAGGATATATTTTATCCATCCAAAAAATTTTATATCTTAGAACGAGAGCAGTAGCTAACGAATACTAGAAATCTAAATAGGTGCTATGTTAAGATTCATACTAAGTATTAATAGCTATATTTTAAAAAGGGAAAAAGTACGAATTACCCCCCCTCCCCCCCCCCCACGAACTATTGCGGTAGTACGATTTACCCCTCTAAACTACAATACCGGACATTTGACACCCCAAAATCTTAAAACCGGATAAATTACCCCCCCTAACTCGATTCGAGCGGTTTTCAGCCTATGTGGCACACACGTGGCGATACAGTTAGAAAAAAACAAATAAAAACATGTGGGGCCCACCTGTCAGTCTTTTTTTTTTCTCTCCTTCTCTCCCCCCTCTCTCTCAGTGAGCAGATGCGGGCGGAGGCGGCTGGGGGCGGCGGGCACGGGCGCCGATGCCGCGGCTGGCGAGCGCGGAGGCGAGGCCAGCTGCGGGAGGGGGTGGAGGCGGCTGCGGGCGGCGGGCGGGCACGGCGAGGGAGGGGAGGCCTATGCCGCCACCGCCACACGGCCGCATCGTCTAGTCATTCAATCCACGTCGCCAGGGAGCTCCAGCCGCCGGAACTGTCGCTCAACCTCCTCGAGTTCCTCTCGAGCTGGTGGAGCGCGTCGGCCGTCGATCCCCGTGCGTGGGGCACGCGATGTCGCCTCCGACGAGGGCAGAGTAGAACCGATCGAAGATGACGTTTTCTTTCCATTTGTTAAAGAAGACATCAAGAGAGTGTAATGTGTTAACCAAGAAAAGGAATTTGCGGCCATGAACTGAAGAGAAAACGAGTGAATTTTTTTCTTCAATTTGTTCCTCGTGTAGCTCCTCGACGGTGAGGACGGACTAGTATTCCAACCGACCAAGTTGAAGATCTCGGCGGGGTTGCTCGATCCCCTACCCCAGCTAGGACCTTGGCTTCCTGCTCTGCTTCTTGCTCCTCTAGCCAAATAGCTTGGACATAGACAAATGCTACCCAGTCGTCGACATCACAAGCGGCATACTTGAACAATAGCAGAAGCCAGCGGCGCGGTGAACGACAGCGAGCGACGTCTCCACCGTCCGGCCGCGTCGGAGGCCGCGTGGACGGCGCGCTCTGCCTCCGCCTCCACCGTCGGTCGCTAGAGCTCGCCACCTCCACAATGACCACCTGAGCTCGCTCCGCCGCTGGCTCTGCTGCCGCCGGTGGCTTCCCGAGCTCGCTCCGCCTCTACCTCCGCCTCCACCGCCGGCCACTCGAGCTCACTCTGCCTTGCCGCCTGCACGAACGAGGTCCACCTCCATCGCTGGCCACCTGAGAGAGAGAACTCGGCGAGCGGCGGCAACTGCTGCGACGGCACTCGGCGAGCGGCTCTTCCCCCACTCTTGGACGGGCAGTCGACGGGGCCGGAGGCTGCGGCGGGGCGGTGGGGCTGCCCCGCCTCCTCCGCCGCCGCCTCGCCTCGCCGCTGCCTCCTCCGCCGCGCTCGCTGCCTCCGCCGTCGTCGGGAGAACAGAGAGAGTGTGTCTGTGAGAGATAGAAGAGAGAGAGTGTGTGTGTATGACATGTGGGTCCCACATTTTTTTTATAAAATAGAATGCTAACTGGACTGCCACGTGTACGCCACGTAGATCAAAACCACCGCGGATTGGATTGAGGGGGGTAATTCGTCCGGTTTGTATAGTTGGAGGTGAAGAATATCCGATTTTATGGTTTAGGGGGGTAATTCGAACGACCGTGATAGTTCGGGGAGGGGGGGGTAATTCGTACTTTTCCCTTTAAAAAGATATATAGAGTAGTGTATACGATGATGAAATTTTAAAGTTGTTATTTTAATCAAGGTAAGATTATAACATATACTCCTAGCTACTTTTTTTAAAAAACAGACATTTTATTAAAAGACAACATTTAGGGGAAGAGTCCCTAGTACATCATCAAGTGATGAGAATTGAAGTACTGAACCATCCTTTTCGAAAGGAAGGCTAGCTTAACAAAGGAAACATAAATCCTAATGATACCAAGCAACAGTAAATGATGCGATCGACAGGGAGCTGTGGCAGTGCCGCGACAATTACATCCAAAGACCTCTTCTGGTATGCACGTCGCTTGACAAACCGGTAATCCCCTTCGGCTACTCCACGGAAATGGCACAATAAACTCTATCCATCTCAAAAATAGACCAACATAGAATTGAATGAGACATTTTATATTACAACGAATCTGAACAAGGTCTCATCTAGATTTATTGTACTAGAAAATATCACATCTGATTCTAAATTAGCTTATTCTGAGATAAAGGGGTACTCCCTGTCTCCCTCTATCCTAAAATATAAAGAATTTTGACGGGATGTGACATATCCTAATAATTTAAATCTGGATAAGCTATCAGTCCAAATTCATGGGACGTATTATAATGTGCCACATCCGACTAAATATCTTTCATTTTGGGATAGAGAAAGTAGGAGTACTATCTCTATCCTAAAATAAGTTCATTTTCTATCCATCCCACACATATCAATACAAACACAAAAGACTAAAATACCACTACTTTATTAAATCGCAATGCAACTATTTCTCACTTTATCTACTCCCAATATAATTATTTTCTACTTTCACAAACTTTGATATATCTTTGAAAATAAACTTACTTTGGGACAAACGCAATGAGGTAAAAATGAACTCAATATGCATGGGACGGAGAAAGTGCTCCCTCCGTCCCATAAAAAATAAATGGATGTGATACATTTTAGTATTATAAATCTAGATAAATATATGTTCAGATTCGTAGTATTATGATGTGTTATATCCGGTGCTATGTTGGTTTTTTAGGATGTAGGGAGTAGCTAGCAGCAACACCACCGCTTTCATGCCATTTCTTTCAACGTAGTACTATAGTAAATATTCACGCGGGCAATGTAATCACTAATTAATCAGTGGCATTGAGTAGCTGCTACGTAGTACAAACAAGCAGGTATGCAGTTGACAAATGCACGATGTCCTGGAAATGAATTAATTAAGCACATGATCAAATTATACATGCTCACGTGGCTATGTCATTGCCCTGGGTGGGCATGCAGTAGGACGTCCCTTTCTAACTTATAATGAACTTGGCTGGCTGGCTAGCTAGCATGACCTATGTGCTAATTATCACTAGTAGCTATCCTTTTGTTCTTAAAAATAAAAGACCGATCCTTAAATCTGAATATATATGTGTTCAGATTCGTAGTTAGAAATTCGTTTTTTTTACAGAGTAGTAGTAGCTTACTCGCTAAAATAAACCAATGCAATATAATGTGATATTTTCTAATATAATAAATCTAAACAATGATATATCCAGATTTGTTATAGTACTAGAAAATATATCATCATGTAATAGGTATAATTATTATGGAATTGAGGGAGTAGTTTTTTTTATATATAATTTACTTGTAACTTGAAAAATATATAGAAAATCCTGGCCGGGTCAGGCAGGAGCGAGCTGAGCTAGCTAGGTTGAAATTATTTATTGTTGGTAAATTAAGTAAAGTCGCCATCTTCATGCATATATAACTACGTACGGCATTCATGGTAACGACGTAGTAGTAATTAGTAGTAGTACATAAGATAGCTGGTAAGAGTACTTAAATAGATTGACACATGAAGATACATGATAGTACAGCAGTAGCGAATATGCGATGTTGGTGTATAAATATAGGGGGATTCAGAGTCCTTCCGGGCACAGCCACAGGCACCACGCGCACTCTATAGTACTCCATCCATCCATCTCTCCTGCAGCTGCAGTGCAGGCGAGGCTGCCTGCTAGCTCGATCGTTAAATACTCAGCTTGCGCTAGATTATAAATTCAACAAGAGAGAGGTAGCGATCGATCTATCTCATCAACAAGATCGAGCCAATTAATTAAGGGCGCATGACGATGAAGATGAAGCAGCAGATGATGAACAAGCTCGGCCTCCTTGTGGTGGCGGTGGCGGTGGCGATGGCGCCTGCAGGGAGCTTTGCGTCGTCGTCGGGGAGGGGGGCTCCGATGGTGCCGGCGGTGATCGTGTTCGGCGACTCGATCGTGGATCCAGGGAACAACAACAACCTAAAGACGCAGATAAAGGCGAACCATGCCCCCTACGGCATGGACTTCGCCAACAGTGAACCCACCGGCCGCTACTCCAACGGCCTCATTCCCACCGACTTCATCGGTACGGTATCATACTCTCTCTTCTTCTTCTCACTTCAACAATGCAACACTTCATTAAGAGCATGCATGCAGCAGCAGCAGCAGAGCTGGTAGTGCGTGCACTGACATGAAAACAATACTATATAATAGCACAGACTCTCCGTACTCGACCGCATCCATGCATTGTTTACTGTACTTACAACTACCACGAATGCCATAACGAAAACAAAATGGTTTACATGCATGTATGTTCTCTGCCGTTAGACATACCGTCATTTGACTTTTATTAATTAATTTATTTAAAAAATAGACACATATATTTATAGTGATGGGATAAATTAACTTCCCAACTAGCTCCCTTTAAAAAAGAACATGACAAAAGTTTCCAAAATCACATACTCCTAGATTCTTAGGATAAGATCCATTCACCTAAATTCACTTTTGAAAAGACCGTCGACAGTTACCAATTTCAAAAGTGTAACATAATTACACATAGTATTCATACCATGTTCTTCCTAGGTAGTATCAATGATCAAGAATTGGAACATATAGCTAGACAATATGCATTATGTTAGAAAAGTGGTTTTTTTTTTCTGAAGACCATATATATGATTACAGCAACGTTAAATTAACCAACACAATCAATGCACTGGTCCTTAAGACAAGAAACCTTTTGATGCCATTTATATTTGTGAGAACGAGTATAAAATTGTGTTCTTCTTTCTCCACCATACATGCATGCATGCAAATAATGTAGCCCGCATAGTATATATACTAGTATAGTAGTAGTGAGAAATTAATTAATGGAAATACTAGCTACAACTACGTACAATACCAAGTATAGGTGGAGATATATGCATGCATGCATGAGTAGGTGCGTGCAGGGCGGCGTTATTAGCTGGCCGCCGCGTGGTGTACATGCATGGCGATGGTGATGGTTAATTTGGACGACAGACGACATCGACATGCATGCATGGACAGGCCATCTCCGCCTCACCTCCGATCGATCAATCCGCCATCATCAATTTCATTCATCATTTAATACACTACAGTTGTATATCACGCGCCATTCTTTATTTTGCATCCATCTCTCATCCTTATTCCATGCAGGACTGTATATGTGCATGAGCTATCATTAATTAATTTAGTTGCCGGTACTGCAGTTGCTGACTTGCTGTACTACTTACCTACTTTTTTGAAAAAAAGAACAAAAAAAACCTTGGTATTAGAGTAGCATAGTAGTACTCCATATAGAGAAATGTGATTAATTTCTTATAGAAGAAACTTTTTGGTATTAGCTATATTGATTAATTTCTTATCGCGCATCTAGCATTCTAGCTAGAGAAAATGTGGGTGTATTCAAAGGTAGGTTTGAAATTTGTTGGTGTTTTGCTTGTATATATATGTAGCTCAATCATAGTATAAAAGTAGCCTGCGCCGCACGATAAGATGAGTGACAATTAATATATACTAGTACCTAACGACTTACTGAAAATTAAAAAGATTAATTAAGCGCGGCTTTCCAACTGCTGCCTGGTCCATGCATGACTGGAGTACTCAACTCTTTCATTTTAATAAATTCATGGCGGCTCAACGACCGGCCTCTTGTTGTTGATTGATGAAGTTGTTTGTACTAGTAGCTAGCTGGAGTAGATCGATCGATCGATCGATTGATCTCTTTATAGTTATTACTAGTGGAGAAGCTAGCTAGCTAGCTGTGCCTGTGTGTACGTAATTAAAATTATATAGTATTAAAGAAAGAATGAATATTAGTGGATCGAGTAACATGTATGCATGTATGAGTGCGCAGTCCAGGGGCTTAACGTGAAGCAGCTGATGCCTCCATACCTGGGCGTGGAGCTGAGCCCGGAGGATCTCAAGACGGGGGTGAGCTTCGCGTCAGGCGCGACGGGGTACGACCCGCTGACGCCGGTGATCGTGAGCGTGATAACCCTGGACCAGCAGATCGAATACTTCCACGAGTACAGGAAGCGGCTGGTGGGGGTTGTGGGGGAGGAGGAGACGGCGAGGATCATCGACGGCGCGCTCTTCGTGGTGTGCGCCGGCACCGACGACATCGCCAACACCTACTTCACCACGCCCTTCCGGAGCGTGGAGTACGACATCCCCTCCTACGTGGACCTGCTCGTCTCCGGGGCCGCCAAGCTGCTGGACCAGGTGGCGGCGCTCGGGGCACGCCGGATCGGCTTCGTGGGACTGCCCCCCATCGGCTGCGTCCCCTCCCAGAGGACGCTCGGCGGGGGCCCTCACCGCCGCTGCGAGGAGAAGCGCAACTACGCCGCCAAGCTGTTCAACTCCCGGATGGAGGAGGTGATCGCCGCCAAGACCAATCCGGCCACCACCAGGATGGTGTACGTCGACATCTACACCATCCTGCAGGAGCTGGTCGAGAACGGGGACAAGTACGGCTTCACGGAGACCACGCGCGGCTGCTGCGGCACCGGCACCATCGAGGTCACCGGACTCTGCGACGCCCGCTTCGTCGACATCTGCGACAACGTCTCCAACCACGTCTTCTTCGACAGCTACCACCCTACGCAGCGCGCCTACAAAATCATCGTCGACTACATCTTCGACAACTATCTCCAGTTCCTCCTCGCCTAGCCGCCCCGCCCGCCCGCCAATCTGCCATTCCTTCCTTCTTAATTAATCTGCACCTACCTACCTACCACCACCGCTCCATCCATTTCTATATTATATATATTGATCAATCGACTCGACTGTACGTATTTTCGACAACAATTTTCCCCTTCTTTTTTCCCGCACAAATTAATTAAGCTGCTGATTATATTTCTCCATCGATCGGGCAAGTGTTACTCTTGAGCGCCACCTCAACGCCATGCCGCATGTAAAGAAAACCCGGTCAATCGTCAGCAAAACCGCCCTCCAAATCACTTAGGAAGTTAAATTGCACCGGTTTTAATAGTTCGGGGGTTGAGATATCCGGTTTTGCGGTTTAGGGTTATGGATTAGATTATAGTCACTTTTTAAGAGAGTCAAAGTGAACTTATTCCTATAATTAACTTAGGCCAAAATGGGATTGTGACTAATGCATGCCAATTAGGCCGGCCCATACTAGTTAGTAGGATGTGAGACGGATCCATTTATATATATGTTAGTTGGGCCAGATCGATGTGTGTATGCCCATTCTTCTTAGGAATAAGTTCACAGATCCCTTAACTTGTCAACAAATCCAATTTTCATCCTTCAACTGGAAAGCCAGAACAACTTACCCTCACCTGTCAAAACCGGTGCAATATAGGTCCCATGGCAGTTTGGACAGTAGTTACGACTGATGTGGCGCCTACGTGGCTAATTTGACTCGGTCTTTCTGATTAGGCATTGTCGTGGCATATGAAGCAAAATTTAACAATTTAAAAATTAGAACAAAATATGTTGGTCCACATGTGTCACACCCCAATCCGGCACCGCCGTACAACGGCACCTGACAGGAGCGTGTCGTAGGAATAACGGCGCGAACCGCTTCCTACGAAACCGCGTTCTCAGTACCAGTCCCAGGACATAGTGCTGGTACCCACGGTGACAAATATGAATCATTGTAAATCCTTAAAATAAATAGAGAACTTATTTACCTTACTTAGGTTGCAGCTCAGGACAGCCTGAGAATACAACCGACGACGCGGACGAGGAAACACCAATAGCAGCAGCAGCAGAACCAACGAACTAACATCCAACACCACAGGCGACGACTGGGAACCAGGACGAAACCCTAATCTTCGCTTCACTTCATCTTCTCTTCAAGACGGAGGAACTATATATATATATTTATATAGAGCAAGGGTGAGTACTTTCGTACTCAGCAAGCCATGGGAATTAAGTGTTTAATGCAGGCTTCAAAGGAAAGGCTATTGTTTTTGCAATTGATTTTATTTAAACTCCTTTTTGAAACAACTAAGTGAGTGCTTCTCAAACGACACGGATAAGACAGTGTGTCTCGTCCAGTCGGAGTATGTGCAATGTATCAGTCTTTAAATTGATGCAAGGTTGGCACCCGGCCAACAGCTTTCAAACGGACACCCGGGTCTAGCTGATCCCATCAGCTGCAGATTTTCCCAACATCGATCCCATTCCATAACAGCAATTTCACAAAGCAGTAGTCAAACAAAACTACGCTAAGGAATCACCTTACATCCGCCCATGACCGTGGGCACGGCTGTTCGAACAGTTTAATAACCTCTACAGAGGGGGTACACTTTACCCACACGACGTTACTAGCCTTGGTAACCTAGCCCGTGTGGATCAAACACGTCTGGTGACTTAGGGCTTTCACGACAAGGCATTTCGAAAGCCGACACAGGTTCACCATATGCCAACGAGAGGGGTCCCAGACCGACATCAGGTTAGGTCCCAGACCATACTGTGCCAGGAAGCCCGGGGGTTCTCCCCGGCACCACCCTGTTGAATCCACATGTCTCTTGGCATTATGGTTCCCCCGATTAGCTAATTACTCAGCCAGGGGTGTCCCATTCCACCCATGTGGTCGCACTTGCCTTATGTTCGGATGAAATTCCAAGGAAACGGTCCTTAAGTGCAAGAACGGGAAACCGTACTCCCAGTATGTCTCCCGGTCCGCTATTTTGGAAATTCATTTTAGTTCGCAAGCACCAACCTAGGTGTCGGGTTTTCCAAGTCTTTTGTAAAACCCCAAGTTTTACCCATCGTTGGATATTTTAAATTTGCAGGGAGGTGTTCTGATGCGCGTACCCGAGGGCCCATGCATCGAAGCACAACAGGTGACAAAGGAGGTTTAAGGGTTCAATAACTCAAGGAGGGTAATTGCAGCAATTAGGATTGGGGGCCGGCAGGCTATCTCGCAAGCCGCGGCCGAAATACTTGTGTTAATCCTATTCATGTAATATTTGCGAAAAAGAAATACTTAGATTTAAATTATAGGTGCAGGATGATCAAAGGTGACTTGCCTTACTTAAGGTCTTCACGAAGCTTCACGAATCTTCGAGAAAACTCGCGATCGACGAAAATCCGGTAACCGCGACTATACGCAAACAATCAAAAACCTAAACAAGGACCAAAAGAGAAATCCTATTTAGGCTAATTAATAGTGCCATTAAATAGATCTCAATTTTAGAGAAAAACTGGAAGTGGAACGGAGTCAATCGGACGAGCGGTTGAGGAGATATGAATTTTGGAAGTTTAATTGGAATTTCTGGAAGACGAGAAATGGTTTATGGAATTTATAGAAATAATATTCTTAAGAATATTATTGACAGTCACTGACATGCGGGACCAAAGGAAATAGTTTATGGAAATTTTGGAATAAGGAATTGATTTATGGAACAAAGGAAAAAGGATTTATTAAATCCCTTGGAAAAGAAAATGGATGAGGGATGTGAATTAGACTTCCTCGGGCGGCATTGGTGCGGTCCAAGGGGATTTGCATGCGCGGCCGAGCCGATTGGGCCGGCGCGCAGGAGGGTGGCGGTCCAAGAGGCGCGCGGAGAGAGAGAGGGGGGAGCCGGTGCACCGGATCCACCGCGTGGGGTCCCGGGACGGGGCCCACTTGGCGGCGGCCTGGTTCACGGTGGGGGGAGTGCACACGGGGTGCGGCGCTAGGGTTAGTGGGCTCGGCTCATGCCGCACGCACCGGATGGACAGGGGAAAGGCGGGCCCACGCGTCGGCGGCTGGCGCACCGTGGACCGCGCGCACCGGGATGGGGAAGGGAGGCCGACGGGTTGACTCGGCCTAGCCGACGTGGCGGCCGCGTCGGATGGCGAGAGGAGGAAGATGAAGGCCGGCCGGGATGAACGGCGGACGGCGGCGGCGTCCACCGGAGCAAGGCGCGACCTCAACGGCAAAAGGAATCACACCGGGGGAAGGGAAGGGACGAGAGGAAGCGAGCTGATGGCTCGGATTCACCGGAGGATGTCCGGAATCTGGCGGATTGCGGCGGCGGCAATCGCCGGCGAGCAAAGAGGGGAATCACGACGAGACGATGAGAGTTCGATTCAAAGGGGTGGGAGCATCTCCGGGGTTCAAGGAATCCGTTTCCGGCGCCGGATGGAACGGAGGAGCACCAAGGAGGGCCGGCGACGAGCGGCGGCCTCCGGGAGCGGACGGTAATGGCAGCGAGGCCATGCCGATCGACGGCGGTGCTAGGAAATGGTTTGGGGAGGTCCTAGGGAGCTCAAGGACGGTGTTTGCGAGGGTGGTCGATGAGCTGGGGCCCGACGACGGTGCGCGTCGGCGGAAACAGAGCAATGGCGAGGCGCAACGTGCGGCAGGCTATGGCGTGCGGCGGCGGGCGCGACACAGCGAGCGGTAGGAGGAAAGGGTTCGGCGGGAGCTCACCGACGAGAGGAAACGGCGTCGGCGGCTTGGAGGGAGTCGTGGCGAGGTGGTCGCGACGGCGGGACAGCGCGGCACCGAGTGGGCTCGGCCGGGGAAGAAGAGAGGGAGACACGAGGATGGGGGTGGCGCGGAGCTCCTCGTCGACTCCTCGTGCTCGCCGGCCTTCCGGGCACGCGCGGCGGCAGAACGAGCGACGATGGCGGCGAGCAGACGGCGACAAGGGTGCTGTGGGTGGAAACGGGAGGGAACGAGAGGGAAGTTGAGACGGTGAGGGGGCTCGGGTTTTATAGTGGAGGCGATGTCGGTTTGGGAGGAGGGGGCGAGCTGGTGCTTGGCTGGCGGCCGTGAGCAGGATCGACGTTTTCGTGGGCAGCGCGAAACATGGCGATGGCGTGGATGTGTTGGGCGGCGAAGGCGGTGGATCAGACGGCCGAATTTTCGAGTCGTGAGTGCGGGCTGGCGCGGTCAGGGAGCGAGAGTTGGCAGCCGTGCTCGGAGCTAGCGGCCATGCGGCGGCAGAGCATGACAGTGGCTGAAGTTGAGGTAAAGGTGAAAAGGAAGAGAGAAAGGAGGGTTTGCCCTTGCCATTTTGGGAGAAAGAGGGAGGGAGAGAGAGGCTCTGCCTCCGGGATTTGGACGCGAGCGTACAGGGGTAGGGGCGACGCGGCAACAGGGCATGGGTGGCGTCAGGGCTGACGCGGCGGCGACCAGGCGGCAATGGCGCGCGCGCGCGGAGCGGCTGGTGCGGCCGAAAATTGAATGGCGACGGGCGGGGGATTCGGCGCCGGAGTGACGAAGGCGGTGGAGGTTCGGATGGCGGCGGCCGGAAATCGGCGCCGGTGTGAGAGAGGAGAGAGAACGAGCGAGAGAGAGGGGAAAGAGAGAGACGACTCTCTCTCTCTCTTCGAGCACGTGCGGCGCACGCGCAGGAGAGAGCTGGGCCGAGAGGAGGGGATGGGCCGGGAGAGAGGAACAACCCACAAAAACAGAGGGAGGCAAAATGGACTTTTTCCGAGAAATTGATTTGGAGGGATTTGGAACTGGAATTCGAATCCAAATTTGAGAATTTGGTCTTAGGAACATAAGGTGGAGTCAAGGGAGGGTTTCAAAGTGGAGACTTGGAAACGGAATTTGAATTCGAAATGGGAATTTGGATAATTTTCGAGTCGGGCGAATATTTGGCAAGGTTTTGAGATTTGGAATTTGAATTTCGAATTTGATTAGTTGGACTCAGGAAACAGGGAGGAGTCAAGGGATGGATTCAAGGTGGACTCGGATATTCGTGGAATCGGGACAAGTATTTGGCGACGATTCAAAGGAGGCGATTGAATTTCAGGATTTGATTTCGGAAACTTGAATCGGGATTGGAAACTTGAGGTGGAGGATTTTGATGGCGACGAGAAAGAACAACGATGGAGATTTGAATTGAGATCCACGGCACGACTTAGACTCTCACACAAATAACGAAATTTTCACATATAGGATTTTGCCGAATTAGTTTTTAACGACTCACGAAAAGCGGAGCGTTACAACATGTCAATCAAATAATAAAATTAAAAATAGTGGGCTCCACTTCCTCCACCTCATTCTCCCTCTTCTCTGTCTCCTCTCCCCTTCTTCTCCCCTCTCCAGACTTCATCGACAACTCCACGGAGACGTCGACCGAGCGTACCAGTTGAGTTGCTGAGGCTAGCAAAATAATTGAGTAGTTATTGTCAGCTCTCGCTAGGATTGACATTTGAAAGAGGCCCATTTGATAACCCTTATTTATTATAGCTTGTAAGATGTCCGCTCCGAGAGCGAACAACATGGGAGAGAGGGGATCCACTCCTCTTGCACTAGAAGAACTCTCCTGGAACACCATTGAGAAGGTCTGTTTTGGAAGCAGATTCAAGGATCAATTTTACCCAATTAATCCATTGTGGAGGGAACTCCATTACTTTCATGACATCTAAGCATGATCCAACTTAAGCATGATGAACATTAATAAAGATATTTAAAGGTCCATGCCAGACAATCTTGATTGATTTTGCTATGATAAAGCCAAAGTGATTCTAATGGACTATCGTAGCCATAATCACTTGAAATCTATCAGCTATTATCTTAGAAATTATCTTTACTGGTTGGTTCATAAGTCAAATAGGTCTGTAGCCATTAGTTGTTTCAGGGACTTGCTTTTTGGGTACTAGTGTGATGTGTGAATAATTGAAAGCAGATAAATTGGCACAACCAGCTTGAAAATCAGCACAAAGTTTGTAGAGCAGATACTCCCTCGCTCATTATTTGTTATGCTAGTGATTGAATTCCTGCATGAAAGAACTTAGTGATCTCTCTCCCAAATTGAGTCCAGTCCTCAGTGCAGCTTTTTCTTCTTTCCAATATTGTTGTTTATAAGACAATAAACTTGCTGATATGGATCTTTAAGATAATTCTTAAACTTTTTCTCACGAGTTGATAATTGTGTTTCAAACTATCGATAAAGCTTAGCACTTTGTTGCAATTGGAGATGGAGAGAGAAAGATTGGAAATGCTCTCTCTCTCTCTCTCTCTCTCTCTCTCTCTCTCTCTCTCTTATTTTGAGCTTGTGAACTGATAGTGGGTTGTGTTGAGAGTGTGTGGAAGTAAAGATTGTAATCTTGGAGCCGCCAAAGAGTGTACGTGGTATGTCCGAAAATCCTTGTGAAGGTTGTACCTTTCGTCTCAAACCTCATGAAATTAACTAAAGCCCGCACAAAGATGGATAGGTTGATGAGATTCAGGTTGATGGAAATAGAAATAGAAAGTGATACTCCTATATGGAAAGAGAAGAAAGAGACAGCGCGCAGTGCACCCAGAAAGAGTTAAAGCTATTCTGATCCGAAAGCAATGATCGAGTGTAGATCAATCTGAGAAAGGAGGAGCAACCAAATACTAAATCCAATCAGTCAGTCTGAGTGCGGAGGGACGGGGACTCCATTTTGCTCTCTCACACTCTCTCAACATCTATCCGTCTCTATCTCTATCTCTATCGCCTTAATTAATTATGCCATTATCACCAATCAATAATCTCCATTATCATGCAAAACTTTCCTAACTAGCTAGCTAGCTCACTGCCTTTTCTCTCTCTCGCTCCTCCATCCAATTAACCCATGTTGTGTTGTGTTTTTCAAGATATCAGCTCAGTGCAGAGGGGCATACCAGAATATGTACTTATTCAGTTAACTCCTATTATTTTTAGGTCATATATAATATTCAAAGTTTGTCTCGATTTGGTACCGTTCGCACAACCGCACTGATATCTAATCGATCGGGCTATCGTCTCTCTCTCTTTTTTTTTTGACTAACTATCGTCTCTCATTCGTCCAGTGGATGTGAGATGGCAGCGACTAATGCGATTGCACGAAGGAAGAGGCGAGCGATGCGAGGGGAAAGGGAGACGGGAAAACCAGCTAAGATTAATGGTTTAGATTAATCTCTACTACTAGTAGAGAGAACACCGTATATGGGGCTCAAGAAAAAAATGTTGGCAGATGACTAATCCAATTAGTGTAGTATATGCAAGGTGTTTTACAAGGGAGAAACTGATATGAATCTACTCCTTATGTCTTAAAATATAGAAATTTAAGATTGAATTTGATAATATCTTAGAGTAATCTTATGTAAAAGAGAAAGGAAAGAAAATTGATGAATTTCTTTGTTGTGGGCGCGCTACCAATCGAGTGGCATCATCATATATCATCATGCATCATCAGAAAAGAAGATATGAATTGTTGGCCTGGATGGGAGCCCGGAATCCGGATAGATAACCGTGAGGAGAGGGACAGGGAAGTTGGTGCGTGGGTGTATCTGCGTGCAGTGGCAGCAACAACTTCCTTCCTTCCTTCCTTCATTCATTCATGCAAAACGGATCCACGTCTCCTGCCTCCTCTTTTTAGCGCTTCACATGATTGGCATGCATGCAAAACTTAACTGATCATCAAATCCCTAGCTACCTCATTTATTAATACCTTTTTCTTTTCTTTGTTGTTGTGCAAATACTGTATAGTATATACCATCCTTATGTATGCTGATTTAATCACCTATATATAGTTAGTGGAGTATATATGTACTCTAGCTGGTAGGTGGAATAATATGGAAGATAGTACTTCCGATCCCTACGTGTGAATCTGATGCTCTCACTCACCACTGTAAACTAGCTTGTTCTTATTAGCTTTTTTTGTGGCTTACACATATACAACTACCGAGATTCCTCATTTTGAAAAAGGACTAGCTTGTCATTCGATCGATAGATGGATGGATCTTTGTTTACGGATGAATGATAGACGTAGAGAGGCGCTTGTGTGTTTATAGAGTAAGTTGTTCCCCACTAACGTCAGCTAGCGAGCGCGCTGTACATGGCGAATAATCCATTTCAGATAAACAAAACGGACTGAGATCTGATGGTGCAGTTGTTGATGTTGTATACTTGATATCGAGAACCGAACCATATGCATGCAGGAATGAAGGAATATATATATATATATATATATATATATATATATATATATATATATATATATATATATATATATATATATATATATATATATATATATATATATATATCCATAACTAATTAGTAACACAAAGAATATTGATTAGATGATGATCACTGCTACCTCCAGAAGATCAATCTATACAATCTGTCTGTCTCAGCAATAAATTAAGTTGACGACAACTAAGACAAGAAATCTTTGTCGTTAGATTAGTTGATTCCCAGGCGGCATCCATCCAACCAATTAATTTAATTTAATAATAATAAATCTGTTGTGTCCGTTTTTATAAGCCAGTTGATGATACACGTGTACGCACTAGTGTGACTTGCAAAGCTCATTTCCATTGTCCAAAGCAGAGCAAAACAGAGTTGAGTGCAGAGGGAGGCATTTTGCTCATTCAATTCCTCACTTGATCCATCCATCCATCTATCGAGTTTGCCACCCGGCCATGACGCCTCCACCGCCGTCGCCGCCGCACGAGAGGAAAACGTGGGCGGAGTCGGTGGCCAGCGAGTTTCGGGCGCAGCGCGGCATCGCGTTCCCTCTCATCGCCATGAACCTCACCTGGTTCGCCAAGCTGGCCGTCACCACCGCCTTCCTCGGCCGCCTCGGCGACCTCCAGCTCGCCGCCGGCACCCTCGGCTTCAGCTTCGCCAATGTCACCGGCTTCGCCGTCCTCACCGGCCTCTGCGCCGCCATGGACCCCATCTGCGGGCAGGCGCACGGCGCCAGCAACGGGAAGCTCCTCCGCAAGACGCTGGTGATGGCCACCATCCTGCTGCTGGGCGCGTCCATCCCCATCGCCTTCCTGTGGCTGCACGTGGACGCCGTCCTCCTCCGGTTCGGACAGCAGGCGGACATGAGCAGCAACGCACGCAGCTACGTGGTGTGCCTCCTCCCGGACCTCGCCGTCACCTCCTTCGTCAACCCGCTCAAGTCGTACCTGAGCGCGCAGGGGGTGACGCTCCCCACGCTGTTCGCCTCCGCCCTGGCCCTGGCGCTCCACGTCCCCCTCACCATGTGGATGGCCAGGACCAGGGGCATCCAGGGCGTCGCCACCGCCGTGTGGGTCAGCGACCTGGCCGTGGCCGTCATGCTCGCCGGCTACGTGCTCGTCTCGGAGCGACGACGGAAGGCGGGAGGGGGCGGCGGATGGGTGGAGCAGACGAGGGGTGAGTGGGTCCGGCTCCTCCGGCTGGCCGTTCCCAGCTGCCTCAACACCTGCCTGGAGTGGTGGTGCTACGAGATACTGGTGCTCCTGACGGGACGCCTCCCGGACGCCCGGCGCACGGTGGCGGTGATGGCCGTGACGCTCAACTTCGACTACCTGCTGTTCGCGGGGATGCTGTCCCTGTCGGTGAGCGCGTCGGTGCGCGTGTCGAACGAGCTGGGCGCGGGGGAGGCGTGGGCGGCGAGGCGCGCGGGCATGGTGTCGATCGTGGGCGGCGCGGTGGGCGGGGTGGGCGGCGGGGTGGCGATGGTGGCGGCGCGGCGGGCGTGGGGGAGCATATACAGCTCAGACGCCGGGGTGCGGGAGGGGGTGGGGAGGGCGATGGAGGTGATGGCGGTGCTGGAGGTGGTGAACTTCCCGCTGAACGTGTGCGGGGGGATAGTGCGAGGGACGGCGAGGCCGGCGGTGGGGATGTACGCCGTGGTGGCCGGCTTCTACGTGCTGGCGCTGCCGCTCGGGGTCGCGCTCGCCTTCAAGGCCAGACTTGGGATCCAGGGCCTCCTCCTGGGCTTCCTGGTGGGCGCCGCGGCCAGCTTGGCGGTGCTCCTCACCTTCATCGCGCGCATGGATTGGCCCGCCGAGGCCCAAAAGGCGCGGACTAGAACCACAGCAACCGTGGCCCAATTCCACCAACACGACGAGGTCGTCCAGCCTTGATTCATAAACCATGCATCCGATAGGGTAATTAGTTTCTGCATCCCGTTTGGGAATTACTCCTTACTTTGGGGGATTACTTGCTTGCATGAACAACAACTGCAACTAGCTTCCACCTCCATCTTCATGATACAGTCAAAATGGTCATCAAAATCGTAAATCAATCAACATTTATCGCGACATGCCAAACCACACAAAAACAAATTTTAATTCAAAGGTGAATATCGGGTACTAAAGAAACAATTTGAACTAGACAAGTCAACATCTAACAATCTACTCCATTCGTCCCAAAACAACAAACTTACTTTAGGATACGACTTATCCTAATACTATTGGCTGTGTTCTTAAGTGTAAGTTCCCAACTTCACTCTCTTGTTTACTGCGCGCACACTTTTCAAACTGCTAAATGATGTGTGTTTTGCAAAAAAAAATCCTATAGAAAAGTTGCTTTAAAAATCATATTAATCTATTTTTAAAGTTTTTTAAGCTTATAATTAATTAATCACGCATTAATCCATTGCTCCGTTTTCCGTGTCAGAGGTGAGGGTTCGCAACCCTCACCTAAGAACACAGCCTAATTAGAGTGCAAGCCAAATGCAACTTTTTATATTTATTTATTCTGAATTTTCGGATTATTTTGCGTGATAGCTAAAATTAAGCCCTACATATGAATTTAATGTTTTTAATAGAAAACAAATATAATTTACAGAACTAGATATTTGAATTGATTTACAAAACCAGGCGCGGAGTTTAATTTATAGTGTTTCAGAGTCTCTCATCTCCTTCCTGTTCATGGCAGGGTATAGTTAACTGACCATTTTTGGCCTTACTAAAAAACTTGGTAGAGCCAAAACCTTATCGAGTTTCGGTAGTACTAAATTTATTATAGTAAAACTTGTACTCGTGTATGTAAAATTTGACGTCATACTTCCTATTAAAGTTGCTGAAAATATGATAAGATAAAAATTTGCTTCGACTCAAATAGAGGAGGAAGGAGGAAGTGCCCAAATGTAACTTTGTTTTGGGCCTTGGAAGCTACTACAGGAAGGAAGGAGAGTTATTGGGTGGGGCTGGGCCGTCTTAATTACTTAGTAGTGGTGGTGAACTCCTCTCATTGGCGCCCCCTCGGAGTCCGTCTCATCTTCTCTATCTACACTTGTACACAACACTAGCAAACCGCCATGGCGCCGCCGCCGCCGTGTTGTGTGCTAGTGGTACGCTGCTGTTCCGGATCCCTCCCTTCGCCGCCGCCGCCGCCGCCGCCCAGACCCTCTCCCTCCAACAACCTCAGAATCGCCAGAAGGTTAGGGGTATTGGCCTGCTTCCCTCCCTTGTTCTCTCTTCTCTGGGGTGGCCTGGACTGATTGATTTGGGATTTGTATCTTCTTCTTCTTCTCTCTGCGACTGATGATGAAATGAAGAGAGTTTGTGCTGAGGAGCAGTGAGCTCGCCACGCTCGCTGCCATCTTCCACTTGAGGTAGGTAGCTAGGTTAATTAGGTTCCCTTCAGATTAGTTGCGATGGTTAATTAAGGTGTTGAACCACCATGTTCAGCGGCACGAAGCCAAGGTACCTGGGCGTGCAGAAGAGTCCTCCATCGCTGGCTCTGTGCCCTGCCACCAACAATTGCGTTTCCACTTGTGAGGACATCACTGACTCCATTCACTACGCTCCCCCATGGTATATATGCTCTCTTCTTCCCTCTCAACATGCATTCATATACTAGTGGAGTATATGCTACTAATTCATTACTTTTAGGAACTATAACCCCAAGGACGGACGCAGGGCTAAACCCATCACCAAACATGAAGCCATCAACCAGCTCATTCAAGTCGTAAGTCATCCATCTGCATTTCTCTTCCTTTCTTTTTTTTTCTTTTTTTGTTTGTTTCCACGTACATCTAATCTAACTAGTAATAAAAAATAGTATCCTCGTGGGAATTAATCTTCAATCATATAAGTATGTTTTATGGATGGTGTCAATCGGCAGGTCACACAAACAAAGCCTGACAACTTCACTCCTCGCCTAGTAGAGAAAACAGATGACTATGTTCGAGTTGAATACGAGAGTCCTATATTCGGGGTATAATTCATTCTAACACCTTCTTGCTCTTCATTCAGTTCACCCATCTTCTTAGTCTCTACTCCCTCTATTTCACAATATAAGTCATTTTAGCATTTCCCACATTTATATTGATGTTAATGAATCTAGATACATCAATATGAATGTGGAAAATGCTAGAATGACTTACATGGTGAAACGGATGAAGTAGTTGATAGTATAATTGATATATCCACATGAACTTTGCAGTTTGTAGATGATGTGGAGTTCTGGTTCCCTCCTGGTAACAAATCCATTGTTCAGTACCGATCAGCATCTCGATCAGGATTCATTGACTTCAACGCCAACAAGAAAAGAGTCAAGGCACGCACGCACGCGCCCAATATCGATCATTTCTATTACGGAGTAGGAGTAGTACTCCTATCTATCATTGTGTTGATCCATGTCTCATGCTCTGTTCGATCCATCTTTCCATTGCTGCAGGCGCTCAGGTTGGCACTGGAAAACAAAGGCTGGGCTTCAGAAAGCACCATCTGAACCTAACCTCAAGGAAGCCAACCCCTCGAGTCTGTACTGGAGTGTGGATTCTAATCCCTCGAGGGATATCCCCTCGTATATCTTTTTCTTCCAAATTCGATGCAAATAGTTGTGAAAAATTCTAAAAAAAATTGATAATGTAGAGTATAATGATACCTACTAGTCCACCAAAATTCATGTTCAAATTCGATCTACACATCGAGAAACAAAAAAGACAAATTTAGATATAAACAGTACGCTATTATTCATACGCTGAATTTGTCTTTTTTATATCTCGACTTGTGAGTTGAGTTTGAACTTAAGATTTTGTGGAGTTGTATATATGTGTTGTATGAATGTTGTCAAATTTTTCCAGAATTTTTCATAACCGTTTAGATGGTTTTTGAGCAAACAAGGAAACATCCCCTCGAGGGATTAAAATAGTTTTCCTCTGTGCTGTACAGACTGACCGACCGATTGGCTGGTACAGGCACTCTTCCTTCCTGGCGCTTTTAATTGCACATTTCTCCTATCCTTAATGGATTAGTAGACCTTGATATGCAACAGAATCTCTCAAACTTTGGACCCTCATGCTATTGGCAGGCTGAGTACTTACTCCTCCCTCCGTCCAAAAAAAAAAAAGACAAACCCTGAGTTTTCGTGTCCAACTTTGACTGTCTGTCTTATATGAATTTTGTTTATAATTCGTATTTTCATTGTTGTTAGATGATAAAACATAATTAATATTTTATGTATGACTTATCTTTTTAATTTTTTTCATATTTTTTTAAATAAGACGGACGGTTAAACGTTAAGCACGGAAATCAGGGTTTGTTGGCCGGAGGAGGGAGTATGAATGATGCATGTCCAGTCAAGCCGATAGATATAAGTCAACTGGCTATGGCTGTGGCTCCCAAGAAAACAGAGGCAGGAGGGTTTTCTTCTCTCCCTGTCATGTTCTCTGAGATATACTATATATGTAGACGATGCTAATTACTTAACACAGCTGAAAAAAGAAATACTGGCCGTCCCGTCATGACTTGCACTTGTATGAGGGCTAGCGCGATGTTTGTGAATTGTGAGGGGGAATTGCTCTGGCCCATCGATACATGAATCCCCTGCTTGGTCTACTACTTTGGGTGCTGGCCACGCAAAGCCAATGTTTGCATTGCAAACTGATGAGATTTAGATCTAGGAACACATTACATCAAGTAAGTCACATGCAAGGCTAAAGCTTACTAAGTACTATATAGTAGTACTAGTAGTTAGTGGCATGCATCTGACCCTCTCTCTCTCTCTAGAATCTAGATTGTGTATTTGCGTTGCATCCATTCACAGTTTGTTATAATTGCATTTCTCTGGTCGATCAGCTAGGATGTGATGTGAAAACGCGCATTCCTGCTGTGCCGGTGGCTATCAATATAGGTAAGTGTTGACATTTGTAATTTGTTTGAGCACTAGCTAGTCGGTCGTGCTTTCCCCAGCCCAGGCGCACTACTCCATTGACACTGTCTATAAAGGCTGGGAGGCAGCAGAAAGACGAAAGTCAAAAGGACTAAAAAGAGAGAGGCATATATAGTGACATAAACATGGGCACTCGTCCATTTCTGGTTCCGGAGTCAAACTAAACACCAAGCTAAGCAAGCTATATTGATAGTGAGTAGAGTGCAGGCTTCAATTCAGTTGCATCGATGCATTTGTGATAAATCAGCAAGTGCCTTCCCTGTATATATGTATGACGGTGGATGCAGCTATTGTTAGTGCCCCATGACGAGATCTCACCTTAATACTACTACTTACACTAGTATTAGTTTTTATCCTCGCTCTGTCCGTTTGTCTGCTGACTGACTATAACTGATTAACTAGGAATAGTTTTGTATATAGGATGACTAGCAATAGGGATTCCTTACAGATGCCGAGAAAGTTTTTTAACACATAGCTATAGCTGATTTCTACTGCTACTATTTTAAGTTTTAGTTATTATTAGTGCAGGTGGAGGTGGAGGGCTTGCATCGGAGAAGGATTCTAATTATATCCGGATGGACACTTCCATTGTTTATTTCATGTCAACTAAATAACTGTAACAAAATTCAAAAAGGATGACAAAGACATATTAATATGAAATATATCAATCCACGAATATAAAAAAAATTCAAATTTAACTTCTACAATTGATAACAAAAATAACAAATTTAATTGTACGTATACATATGCTAATTAGAGTTTAATTTGTTGTTTTTTAACTACTTATACTTAAACTTGCATGTTTGTGCATCGATATAATTACATATTTTAAAAAATTACAACCATTTAATTAACATGACGGAGTGAACATATGGATCTAGGTAATTAAAAGAGTTTCCTTTATGGGGTATTATATACTATCTAATGTGGTACGCTACGTACGGCTTTTAAGTCAATGCGTCCGTCCGTAAGTAAGAAAACAAACTGTACATCGTGCATAAACAGTAGGACTCCAGTATGTATGAGTGTTGTGTTTGAGGGGTGTGTATGTGTTGTGTTGTAGGTCAACCAATGGAAAAGCAAGGAGATGATGATGAATGGTTATAGAGGCAGGGCACCATCCCACCTTGAATTGTCGCATCGCATCGCATCCACACCAAATTTCACTGACTACTGATCGATCAACTTTCCTTTTCTCCTCTTTCTTTCTTCACTAATCAATCAACTTAATTTGCTCTGTCAATGTGCATCATGTAGCTAGCTAGCTATTCAGATTCAGAGTGATGAAGTAGTATATATTTATGTCGCCGGTGCGGTGCCGCGTCGTCCACTGGCTTGCTCTACTCTATTATTCCCTTTGCATTGCATTGATCGAGTAGGAGTAGTATGCCCATGGCCATCGAGTCATGGCTCACCAAGGTCCGCTCCGCCATCATCTCTTCCAAACCCAGCCCCTCGTCGTCGTCGTCGTCGTCTTGGAGGTCGAAGACGGTCGGTATCCTGGCCTTGGAGGTGGCCACCCTCATGTCCAAACTTGTCCACCTCTGGCGATCCCTCGCCGACGCCGCCCTCGCCCGCCTCCGCCACCACCTCATCAACCTTGACGGCGTCCGCAAGCTCGTCTCCCACCACGACGCCGCCCTCCTCGCCCTCGCCTGCGCTGAGCTCACCGACGCCCTACGTGTCGCCGCCCACTCCGTCGCCGCGCTCGCCACCCGCTGCGCGGATCCCTTCCTCCGCGACTTCGCCGACGCCTTCGCGGACTTCGCCGACACTGGCCGCGACCCTCACCGGTGGGTGTCCACATGGAAGGACATGGACACCAGGGCGCACAAGATGGACAAGCAAGTCGCCGCCACCTCCGCCCTCCGGACTGCCATGGAGGACCTGGCCGACGCCGAGCACGGACTCCGGAAGCTCCTCCAGACCAGCAGCAGTCGTCGCCTCTCCGCCACCAACATCTCGCTGGCGGCGGAGCAGCAGCAGCTCATTTTCGCCAAGAAGCAGGAGGTGAAGCACCTCAAGCAAACCTCCCTCTGGTCCTCCACCTTCGACGCCGTCGTCTCCTCGCTCGCGCGGGCCGCGTTCACCATCCTCGCGCGCATCAAGCTCGTCTTCGGCGCCGCCCACGATCACCGCCCGACGACGACACCGCTGCACCGGAGCCTCACCCTCTCCTCCGCCGTCCACCCGTCCTCCGTCGACGTGCAAGTGCAACCGCCGGTGTCGCGCAAGTCCATGTCCATGGATATGGGCATGGGGGAGGCGCTGTACTTGGAGAGGCAGAGGCAGAGCGGGCTGTTGGAGCGCAGCGCGGCGGCGCTGGTGCCGCCGCCGGGGACGCTGGGCGCGGCCGCGTTGGCGCCGCGCTACGCCTGGGTGATAATCTCGATCGAGAGGATGGCGCGGTCGCCGCGGCTGGTGGGGGCGGAGGAGCGGGACGAGCTGTACGGCATGCTGACGGCGAGCGTGCGCGCGCAGCTTCGAGCGAGGCTGAGTGGGACGGTGGCGGCGGCGGAGCCGGGGCTGGCGGGGCAGTGGCGGGCGGCGGTGGGAGGGATCCTGGAGTGGCTGGCCCCGATGGCGCACGCGACGGTGCGGTGGCAGGCGGAGCGAAGCTTGGAGCAGCAGAGGAAGACGACGAGGGAGATGGAGACTCAGACGCTGGTGGTGCAGACGCTGCAAATGGCGGAGCGCGGGAAGGTGGAGGCGGCGGTGGCGGAGCTGCTGGTGGGCCTCAACTACCTCTGCCGCTTTCACAAGGAGATCACCACCTGCCGTACCCGTACGTGCCACCACGACGATGCACCATGACAACGTGCATGCTGCTTCAAGACGACGATGTACGATTGCCAATGGAACAGTATGCATCCATCCATCCACACCGATCGTCTGATCCATGCTCTCATCTTCTCTTCTTTAGTTTTTCTTTTGTTTTTTTGGGATGGATCCCAATTCCCAAGTACCCAATTGGCTAATGGAGTAGGAGATGCATGGGCTGGCATCTGGGTGATCTCCAGTACTAGTTAAGTCGATTGATGAGAATGGAGTTTTCTGATAATTGGAGCAGGATGGAATCTTGCTTCATTATATTCATGTACAGATAGCAAACCACCAGCGGTGAGTGATTACATTAATTAACCCCCTCTCTAGTTATACCACTATGGAATATACACATCTCTCGAGCAAAAAGCAAGTACACACCCTTATATATTCACTAGCAAAATACCCGTGCTTCGTTACGGTGTATTAAAACTAAAAATATTTGTTTTTAACCGAATTTTTTTACACTGCTTTGGTACTTTTGCTCGCTAGAAAAAGTCTCAAATGATAGAGGGAAGTATAGCTCATAATAAATTATTATTCAATAGTGCGTTGCTACGGAGTAATTTCAATTAAAATCACAATAAATATTTTTAGGATTTAATTTGTGATATGAGTCCTTTTAGAGTAAGGCATTCTTGATATAAATTTGCCAATAAACAACATGTTGAAAACAATATATTTCAACATCAACTAATGTTTTATCGCAATTAAAAAAAGACTAACTTCCTCTTGTTGGGTAATTGTATTTTGTCAGGTAATTTTTATTTTTAGTTTTTCTATGAAAATTAGATTGGAGATATATTTGAGAGAGACAAAGTGGACTTGTTGCTTTAAAAAAGACTAACCATACCAAATGTGGCCCAACAACTCAATCGCACGCTGTTAGTGCTTCATGTGCTGCGTGCGGCCCAGTAATGCTACAACGCAGAGATGGAGGCCAGCTCGATGCGGGATTGATCCGAGCCACTCGTTTTGATGGACGGTTCGGATCGGTTCAGAATCCATTAAAACGGCCGGTACCAAAACCCTAACCCTATTTCAGTTTTTCCTCTCCTAACTCCCGATCCTCTCAGGCTGAAATGGTGATGACGCACCACGATGGATGAAATCTAATTGTTACGTTTAAGGCCCCCTTCTAAACTCCAACTCTAAACTTCAACTTTTTTGTTTTTCGTTAACACGTTTCCAAACTACTAAACGGTGTTTTTTTTTTGAAAAATAATATATATAAGTTTTTTAAAAAATTCAAAGGAACCCATTTTTCAAATTTATAATAATTAATAATTAATTAATCATGTATTAATTGTTTGCTCTGCCTTTTTTTTAAAAAAAAATGCCCATATGAGCATGACGGTGGACACGAGCGGAGAGCGAGAGAGCGGCGCGCCTCGTTACTTCCGCACGCCTCTTTTTTCTCTTCTCCGCCCGCCTCTATCTCCTCATCCGGCGACTCCTTCCCCCTCCCCTCACCCTCTACGCACGCCGTCCCCCTCCCCCTCCCATGGCTCCTTCCCAGCACCCTCTTCCTCCGTCCCCTCCCCCTCCCATGACTCCTTCCCCATGGCCAGCAGCACCCTCTTCCTCTCCATCTCCTGTGTGGTGGTAGCGGTGCCCTCCCCTCTGCCGGATCCAGTGGGATGGGAGGTGGCGGCGGCCCGGTTTCCCGGAGGGACGGGAGGGGAGACGGTGGTGGTGGGGCGGCGCCCTCCCCTCCGCCGGATCCAGTGGGAGGGGAGGCGGCAGTGAGATGGTGGTGGCCCGGCATCCGGATCCAGTGGGAGGGGAGGGGAGGGGAGGCGGTGGCAGCCCAGCGTCCCTGCGGCGGCGGCGCCCTCCCCTCCGCCGGATCCAGCGGGAGGCGGCTGCGGTTCGGCAGCGGCAGCGGCACCCTCCCCTTCCGGTTTGGTTTTTTTATTTGTGTTCTTGTAGTAGTGTTTTCTCTAGGATTTGGATAAAATTTGTGTGTATATGTTTCAGTTTTCCCTCTCCTGTTCAATTTGCATGATGGAATTCCGGATGGGATTTTGGTTGTGTGTATATGTTTCAGTTTTCCCTATCCGATTCAATTTGTATGATGGAATTCCGGATGGGATTTTGGGGGCGGACAATTGAGGGGGGGGCACGGACGAAAAAACAGCGCACGGACGAGGTGACGATTGGAAAAATATAAATCTTTTAATTAGTTAAGATTACATGCAAGTTGACATCAACGAGTCTTCAGGAACAATTTAAGGCTGACAAATACTATGGCCTGTTGTTAGTCAAGTTGTGTGCATGTATCGTCCATGATATATATGGTGCCTTTCTCTTCTCTCAGCTGTGCAACACTAACTGCAACCTAGCATGCATGCATATGCTGATGTTGGGTTGACCCCTGAAGCTAATTAAGCTAGCAGCGATGGCAATTCCTATACCAGTTGAGAACAAGCAAAGCTAGCGCGCTAACGATCGAGCTGGAGTGTGTGTGAATGCAAATGCGCATATATACGGTAATGATGCATCCACACACACACACAACTATATAGTAATAGTAGTAGTAGTATATATAATGCTGCATAGATAGCAGTAAATTAGCGACGATATGATGCATAGGAAGTAAAGTAGAAACAGGAATGATGCATACGTATGTGAATAAGTGTGATGTGTCCGCTCCATGGGAGGCAATCGCCGGGACTATAAATCCATGTTTAGAATTTTTGCTCCTATATATGTAGTATAGATCTTTGCTCATGCACTCTACCGCCCAGCAATCCATATCGCCCTTTCTATCTAGTTTCCATCCCATCATACGATCGATCGAGCAACTTGCTAATTAATTGCCAACTTTTTAATTTGTTTAATGAATCATCTAGTAGTAATTGTTTACAGTCTGCACTTGACAATGCAAGTAGCTAATAGGCTGCCCGGCCGGGATAACACATGGGGAAGTTGGTTGAGTCGATATATATATGATGCATGAGGATTCCATCCATACATACATCACATGCTTAATTATGCTTATTCTTATGCATGCATATGCTGCTCCTGCCCTGGATCATAGATCAGAAATCAGTTTTAGTTAGTTGCGGTAGCAACCTAACCTAGCTTCATGTTGCTCCTGCGCTGGATCATAGATCACAACTCAGTTTTAGTTAGTTGCAGTTGCAACCTAGCTAGCTTCAGGTCGGTGGATGAAAACAGCCAAAACACCACGTACTGGCCGGTGTGGTGTGATTAATTAAACTGCAGGCAGGCAGACTCCCTCCCTCCCTATATATCCATACAACCAAAAATCCAAACTTAACTTAATTTTCTTTCATTTTATTTTCATTACAACCGGCCGGATCGGACTAGTGTTCTTTCAACAGCTAGCTAGTTTGTCCATACTAATTGGTGCCAATTATATAGGGTAGTAGGTCTCGTCCTCCATTGAAAATGTTCTTTCACAAGCTGGAGTCGATCCGGAGGTCCGAGAAGTTTAATTATGGTTGGTTCACTTAATTTGTTGTCTTTTTTAATATTACCAAAGTTTGGTAATGTTAAAATCTGGCACATATATTGTGGCGTTTACCGAATTTTGATATTGGTAATTGTAAGGGTATGTTTAGTTTGTTACGATACCAAAATTTAATAGGGTTAAAAATGACAATAAATACCCTAAAACATCCACAGAATATATGTTTTTATGCTGTAGTATCTCTGAAGCAGTTACAGATACAGTAATACGTACAGTTTTTTTTAACGGAAAATATATTTTTTTTGAACAGAAGTAACACGTACAGTTTAGTAGGTGACTTAGCTTGAAGAGCGAGCTCAATAGGAACGGACGATTGGCTTGATTAATTATATACTACTTCCTCTCAGTGATGCAGCTAGAAAATTTTCGAGCCCGGACATACTCAGATATACATATTATTTGCTATAATATTTCTAACTTTAATCATTTAAAAGAAATTTCAATGGTGTATTTGACGGTAGGCCCAGACAACTACAAGCCACGCGGTGGCTCCGCCCCTGCTTACTCTGTTTCACATAATAATATGCTTTAGCTTTTAAATAGGTTCATGCATGGCATGAACTATATGTATGTTCATATTTATGTGGATGTTGATAAAGAGTAAAAAAAAAACATCCTGTAACATGGATGTATATGTGATGGAGAGGAAAGCGCCATCTTATCTTACTGAAAACCCCAAGTTATCTAATCAGGCAGGGATACATAAGAAACAAAAGGTGCATTTTTCTTTTCAAACTACAAACTTTAAAGCAACTAAAGAGAAACCAGCTAAATACTTTAATCAGTAGTGCCAAATTAACAGGGGAGATAAGGGAGGTAAGCTAATCAACAACCACAGTCGCCAGCTGGTTAATGTTACCTCTCAACCTTGCAATTATGCATAGTACGTAGGAGCCACCAATATAATATCGTGTGGTATACTTCTTCCAAAGCATAGGGACCCCAATTAATCCTCTCAAAAATAGAAATTATATATATAGCTAGATACTCAATCCATGTACCTACCATCTTCGTTCTGCATACACAAAGCACAACAAACAAACACATGCATATGGTATATTTGTATGGTGCTATATATACTATTAAAATAGGGTAGGTGTGCATGATTTTTATATATATAGTGAATGAAGCAAATCATTGTCCACATATATATGTTAATTGGAACAAATTAAAGGCCAGGCCAACAGAGATTTATATTTTGTAATCTGGGATTGCTTATATAGCCAGCAGTTGTTGCTTTAAACTTGAGGCAACTTCTTATTCAGAATAGTACTGCACAACTAGACACATATATATATGTGCCGACGATTAATTGGAGATGAAGATGAATCTGTGGGTAGCTACATACTAGCTAATTAGTTGTTTCTACTTTCTCCTTATGTCAGCACTAAGCTAGCTTTCTGTAAAGTGGTATATCAAGTTGCTGTTCCAGCGAAAACAAAAGAAAAGAGAGGGACGCACAATTAAGTAGCAATAGATTACAGGCCAAAATCAAGTCATTCATGATTGGTCAGAGACACCTTTGACTTGAAAACACTCAACTATATATACATATATTAGGTTGCTGCTGCTATATAGTGGTAGATGAGCTCGAGTGCAGTGGAGAGGGCAGAGGGACCTCCAAATTCCAAAAGGAACCTAGCAGATTTTGCTTTCTCAAAAGGAAACCATATAGATAGCATAGATATGGACCTCTTTTTTTGCTAAGAAGAAGAACAAATTAGTCTAGAATTAATAGTGCCCGGTCGAATTGTTAATTCTCTAACTAATTAATTAGAGCTAGGCCATGTCCATCCCTAAAAGAAAGAAAAGATTCTCGATCGTGTGCCTGGCTACAGATTAATTAGTACGTACATGACAAGATGCATGAATGCATAAATAGCTCCAGGACATCTATCCATGGCTGTGCCTATGGCGAGCAACATTATTCTTGGCAGGGTATATAATATAATTATAGGTGGCTGATGACTCATTGACTAAACTCAACAAGAATGTGGGTTCCAAATGTTCCCATCCAGGTGGTAAACTGAGCGTGAAGTTAGGATAGATCATATTGCTTTTCTGAAAAATGTCCAGTTCACAGAGCGTGAAGTCTAGGATTATGTTTTTTATAGGACGGAGGGAAGGAGTACATACTCCACTGTGCTAGGGTAGTACCTTGGCTATTTACTCCCTCTGTTTCAAAATGTTGTCACATATACTACGAATTTTGAAATGGTTCTATCATAGGCTCTGTTTAGATTTCAATTTTTTCTTCAAACTTTCAACTTTTCCATCACATCGAACTTTCCTACACATATAAACTTCCAATTTTTCCGTCACATCGCTCCAATTTCTTCAAACTTCTAATTTTGGCGTGGAACTAAACACAGCCATAGTAGTAGTACTAATATTTCATAGGTTATAACATTTTGGGATAGAGGGATTATTTTACTCACCTCATGTATATTAAGACCAAGTGTTCAATGAACTTTGTTAGTAGTACAGTACCATATAACTGTCTGTAAAAGGGTATTAATGTCATTAAGGTAAAACAACAACAGCTATCGGGGATCAGCGCTCTATAATTTGGGATAATTAATTCCACAGAAACGCCAAACACATAAAGAGGAATATTGTATATGATGCCCTCTATGACTATGAGCGAGCCTATATATGCGCCTAGTGCTCTTTTGGCAGTTCTTTAATTTCTTCCTGATAGTATAAACTAAGAAGACATGGTGCAAAACGTACGTATGGTTCAACAATGGCCGGTATAGCTTTATTCGACATTCTCAAACGTTCTTCGATCCTCCAATACTGTTTGTTTATCATCTACTAGCTTTATGTTATCTTTGGTTTGTTGTTTATCGTGTAGTCTATCGATGTTTGTCGCATGCCACATGCAGAACATAAACATGCATCAACAAAGTGGAGTAACTAACATATGCATACTGAATGCAAGAGAACTCGATAAGTTACTTCCAAGTTCCACTCTAGTTTCTTTTGTTCTAACAAGAAAAGGGAAAATTGTGAGCAGCAGGCAACCTATTTCCAAAATGTTGACAGATATGTATTTAGAGAAAAGTGCAGTGTCTCCCCTTCACAAACTCTCTCTGCATGTTATGTTTGACGACTCCCGTCAGTAAGGACTCAACTCAAGCAACATATCTGCATTATCTTTCATCGTTTTTTTCTCTTCCTTCAGTGCCCACACCGAATCTGCGCTGTAGAGGGTGACCAGGATCCAACCACACTCATTCAGGTTGAAATAGCCTTAGGAGCTAACCACAGCTTCACCTTTTTGTCCACTCCAGCAGTCGCTAAAACAAAAGCAGGAGTTCCACCTAAAAGAAAATATTATCAGTGATCAGTTTAGAATCTGTAAACACTTCTCCCTCGGACCAACAATAGCTTTATCCTAGTATCCTCAGCCTGGAAATCTTCCAGCAAAAAGCAACACGCATATTTGTAAATGGCGACAAGTGATGCGTTGACATGAGACATGAAGTGCACCAGCTCTAAAATATGAATTACATTTGCATATGGCTAAAAAGGACAAGCTTCAAAGAAAAACGTTTTGGATTTCAAAGAATTTCACATGTACATTTCGTTCGCGCGGTTTGCATACTTCTTACCATTTGGAATTGTTCGTGGAGCCCAGGCAATGCCAGTTATATCACCTGATTACATAAAGAAACATATCACTGTAAGATTGCAGCATATATCTAGCAAAGATCATAACAGGAAAAGGTGTAAATTATAGCCTAATGTATCAGCACTGCATAACTTTATCGAGTGAAAAGTAGTTGAATTCTAAATACTAAATTACGATCAAATTTCTGAAGACAGCACAAAGTTGAGACCATCTGTTATGCAAGTAAGTATTGGTATAATCCATGGACTTCATGGCCATGATCTACAAGTAGTCTGCAGGATCATTGAAAAGGAAAATAACACATGAACATTGACCACAGAGTACAGAGTATGATGTATTTGCCCATGGTAGTCAGTTCTTAACAACTCGGGACTATTGTTGAAAAGGATAGGTTGTGACTCAAACACAAAAAGGTTCACAAGAAAAATAAACAGTGTCAAATCTTCTGTGATTCAGATCTTAATTACTGCCGTCTCCTTAACAATTTATTAGGTCCATTTAGTAGTAAAAACAGTGTCCAATCTGGCAAATCAAGAAAGAAGAGGGCACATACCTTCATGTGCTTTCTCAGCTGTATCAAGAACTGCACCAGTTTCCACACATAACCATTGCAGCGTTGATCCACTTGTCGTGGCCAGAACTTTCTCATCAGGAGATACACTCATGTGATCATACTGGCAAACAGAACCTTTTGAATCATGGAGAGGAATTGGCAAAACTCTCAAGGTTTTAGGGTCTTCATCAAGATGGTACCTTACTACAAAATTGACAGAATATCAACTTGTGAGGAAGGAGAGTATCTGAGAAAAAGAGAACAGTACAAGGTGTGCATAGACTTCTATAATGGCAATACCAAGAACAAATTTATTTTCATCAGGACATTTGTATAAATTCATAAGTGCATTCTGTATAAACATTTGGTAGTGATCAATCAGCACAGCATCTAACAGAAAGGAACGGCATGAGAATGGCTGGGAAGCAACTTGAATACTTGATTACAGAGGATTGCGTAACCAGGTTTGATACTTAAAAAAAATGATAGGTCCTCTCAACTTTTGTGAAGTCAGGCACAAAGACAACTATAGATGCACTTTGGCATACTGAGCATTCAATAAGTGGAAATGAAAAAAAAAATCAAAAGTATAGGAGTTGTTGCCGTGATCACTTTCAGAATTCAAGTAAACAAGTTTTTACTGTTACAATTTATGAACCCAATCCCAACTTATTGCTTCAAGCCATCAAGGATATGGTGGTAAGCGGCATAGAACATAACATTTTGATTAAAATAATAGAACATACCATTAATGTTCCATACTCGAATTGTACCATCTTTGGAAGCTGTAATAATCTGCTCAGAATTCAGAGCGAAACACAGGCAAGTAACAGCGCTCTGAAAAAAGGAGACCGTCAGCTTCTCATATGATTCAGAACATGCAAATAAATTCGTAACACGTCCAACAAGACAAGGGGGGGTCTTACTTTGTGACCCTTAAGTTGCATAACTTTATTGACCTCCTTCACAGAGCTATCCTTTGAATAAACAATCTCCCACACCTACTCAAATAAATGGGAAAAGTTATATTGCCCGGATATCCTGGCAAGGATATGCTATAGTTCTTCAAAATAACAGCAAAACTAACCTTGACATCAGCTGTAAAAGCTGCAGCAGCTATGAAACGGCCATTTGGGGATATATCAGCCATATTATTTTTCAATTGATTGGTGTCGACTGTTCCCAACTCCTTTCCACTTTTCCCATGCCAAATTTTGATATCAGTTGCTGCATGACAACTCAAAATATCAACCTTAGTGTGAGATAAAAGGAAATCCATGTAGCGTGCACAACTTAATGGCATATACCTTCAGAGCAAGAAATCAATATTGTGCTGCCATCACCAGTCCCATAGGTTGCACGAGCTGCCGCAAGATTCAGCACTGACTCCTTGCCGTGAATCTTACGGTGTTCCCACTTTATCTCAGGGGGAGAAAGCTTGCCCTGCTGTTTGTTTCCGCCAGCTGGAGGAGCACCAACATCCGCATACATGTAGAGAGATGAGCCTAAAAGTGCTTGCGCTGCCACAACAACTGATGATGCCCCTTGTGAGAAAGCAATAGCTGTAGGATGTGCCCCAGCGGGCAAGTTGATCCTCAGAATTCTGCAAAACCCCCATAATCTCATACTCCAGCATAAGGAAGTAATAAGAAAGAATAATTCGTGCAGAATTAAAAAAAAAATCTTACTTAAAGCTCTTGCTTGAGACATCATCAACCCTGAATACTCTGACAGCTCCATCCGCACATACTGCAACAGGAAGCAGAAAGTTATAGATGTAGACATTAGAATTTGGAGTAGCAATCACACTTGGTTGATGAAGTGAAATATGGTAAACTGTATGTGTGGTGCCAACTTTGATTTGTTAGCAATGAGAAACAACAAAACATGAGGCATGATATAAGATGAGAAAATAAGAAAGGCAGGACACGAAACAAGAGAGGTCCTGCCTCGTGGTAATATGGTGTTGAGAAAGTAGAGCGGAAAAAAGCTGACCGGTGGCCAGGTTGCAGGCATCATCGGAGAAATGAAGTGCTGTGACTGAATCAGTATGCCCCCTCAAAGTGTTGACATCAAGATGATGGTGCTTTTTTGCGGCGTCCTAAAAGAAAATCATGTTGAGATCAATGACGGTTATATGAAATTTGCCGACAAGAAAGAAATACAGTAATATGACATTTTCGGAGAGGAATGAAATAGTAAGGAGGCTTGTGCGTGTAATGCCTAAAATTTATAATGGATAAACATATCAAATTTGGTAACTCAGATTACGGAATTTGCAAGCAGCAATGAGGTTACATTTAAAGTCGTGGGTGGAAGATAGTACTAGTATATAGGCGGTAGTAATAATAAAGAAAAAGGAAATATTGTGGCAGATTGAGCGTAATAAAACGTTATATGGCTAGGCTACAAGTGATTGGGAGCGGGTAATAGCTAGCTTAACTAGTAGTGGTAAGTAATAGTAACAAATTGGCACGGTCGACACTCGACAAGGGCAGCACGAACGGAGGGATCGGATCTGATATCGGAAAGAGAGAGCTAAATACTACTACTACTAGTATGATATGATAATGTTATACACTAATAGTTTTGAGTTTGATTGAGATAAGGGCATGAGGAATGACCTTATCGACGGCGTGGTGAGATCGCTGGTGTCCCTTCTTAGGCTGGTTCTGGTTGGATGGTCGAACTTGCTTGGGCTGGTCCGGGGCGGCGGCGGTGGCGGAAGGGGGGAGATGGGCGATGGCGGCGCGCTTGCGGCGGAGGTATCCGGAGAGGAAGAGGAGGGCGATGGCGGCGCCGAAGATGGCCGAGAGGAGGGGCAGGGACACCAGACTCGCCGCCGCCGCCGCCATGATCTCTCTCTCTCTCTCTCTCTCTCTCTCTCTCTCGGGTTTAGGGTAAAATTGGGTTTGGTTTGTGTGCTACTCTACTGATGACGAAACTCTCAGCGGATGAGTCCGTACTGCTTTACCCTTTTGCTTTTGTACTCACTGCCGCCCCGGCCCCACCAACGCGTATGTAACATTTAGATTAAATGTTTCATGCAAAATGAGATAGAAATAACATGTGATTAATTGAGTTTTAATTATTACAAACTCAAAAAATGGATTGATATGATATTTTAGAACAAGTTTCATATAGAAAGTTTTTGCATGAAACACACCGTTTAGCAGTTTGAAAAGCGTGTCATGAGTATCCAAAAGTTTATCCAACTTTTGCTGGAGAAAAGAACAGGGCCATGCATGTATTAGTGTACTACTCTAGAGGAGAAAAAAAATAAGAAGAAGAAGAAGAAAGGAGTAAGTTCATCTCCTGTCTCTCAATTTCACATCGAGTTTGTATAACATCCTCGATTTTTAATACCAGAAATCTCCACCCCTTATAACTATTTTAAACCATGTAAAGTAGGTCCAATGACATTATAGAGAGTTATTTTTTCTTACGTGGCAAGTTGATCGGGCCCACTCACTGGGTCAGTCACCATTGATCAGACCCACATGTCATGGGATACCTCTCTTCCTTTTACAATCCTCATCTCCCCTCTACTCCAATCACTCATCACCTCTCCCCACTTTCCTATTTCTCTCCATGTCAGCGCCCTACGTGGGGGAGGGGCGGCAGCGGCGCCTCACCTTGGTGCGGCTGACATAGAGAGGAGACGACCAACAGTGGTGGTGAACGGTTGGGACAACCTTGTCACCTGGCTGCACACAAAAGTTTGCAACCACCAGTACCATCGACCTCAGCCTCATCGACGGCGACACTTCCACAGGCCCAATTCACTGGTTGCTGTTGTCGTGGGCGAGTGTGCGCAGTGCAGGGATTCTTGTCGTGCATGGAGAGTGCACCATGTTGGCGGCAAATTTGTGCACAGCGAAGGGCGTGCCACCCTCACACAAGCTCCAACTCCCACCGCCCCTACTACATGCCATACTCTCCCTGCTCCCCTGCCTCATCTCCCCGCGCCACATCCTGTAGCCCCCCGCGCTCCTCCTCGTGTCCCTCTGTCTCCTACTCCATGACCACACGGTCACACTCATCTCCCGTGTCTACCCCTTCGCGTCCCTCAGGGCCGAGATCTCCTCAAGGCCGCCGCATGGATGGGGAAGATGATGATGGGGGCACAGCAATGGCGTCGAAGACAACGAGCACTCCATCATGGGAGGGGTGAAAACGTGTGCTAGGGGCTATGGGACGCGTCGATGGTGATGTCCGTCGAGCCAACGCCAGTGTCTGCCGGTCAAACAAGAAGAAGAGGAAAATGGTTGATGCTACCATCTTGATGTTGCATTGATGGTCGGCAGAGACCACACGGATGTGGTGCCAACGAGGAGAAGATAAGGAGTATTTATTTATTTTTACTAACTAGGATGTCACATCAGCTAAAACAACCCTCTATACTATTATGTGATCTAGTTTGTACGATTTTGAATATTTAAGGGTAAAAATTTCTAGTATTGGGGATTGAGGATGTTTTGTAGGCCGTCGTAAAGTTCAGGGGCGTTACCTATTTCAAGAAAAAGCACGGGCAGAAACTAACTTGTTGTTATGGGCCGCGTCGCGTCCTCTTGTGTTAGGCCTGTCGCTCGCTTTTCCTTTCCTTGTCAATTCCCGTTGATCGAAAGGTCTTCAAATTAAAGCCCAGCCCAAACGCATATGCAGCACTCTCTTTCACAAATCTTTTATCGCTCCATCCTTCTGTATAAAAAAGAATCAAGGAATAAACAAGGTATAAATAAGCTATGGATTAAAAAAATAGAACGCGAAGAAATGAAAAGAACGTAAACTCAAATTTAAAATTAAATTAAGTTTCGGAATTCAAACTTTTGCTACGGTCATGGTTGCATCTCTAGCAAATTTTCCTCGGTATAAACAAAAGAGAGGAAGATTGATCCGCGAACAAGTGCAATGGAGAAGAGATTGGTCTGCGAGCAAGTATGGTAGAAGAGATTGGTCTTTTTCGACGCTGGATTGAAAGGCTTAGGCCGCGTTTGAATATCCCATTATTAACTTATACTCCATCATTTTTTACGTGCACGCTTCTTAAACTGCTAAATGATATGTTTCTTTTTTTAAAATGTTTTTATATAAAAGTTGCTTTAAAAAGTCATATTGGCCGTTTTTTTAAGTTCTTTCGCTAATGCTCAATTAATTATGTGCTAATGAGTTACCTTGTTTTTCATGCAGGATAAATGGGTTACAAACCAACACGTTCGAACACAACCTTAATGGTTTTGCTATGTTTATTTAGGTTCTTTGTGAAATTGCACCTCTTTTTATACACTTTACAACACCAAAGCTAGGCAAAGCCCTAGTAGTTTTCCAGGTAAAAAACACACACCAAAGATTGTTGCTCCAACCCGATTATGATTTTGACATAGGACTTTCACAAAGAACCCAAATAAACATGAGTTCACATAGGACTTTTTTACATTTTTTTTTCACTTGAGATTAATTAATTTGACTCCTAGAGAAACAAACACCTCCTTTGTTTCCAATATCTGTCGTTAGTACTAAGTTTAGAAAGCATGCATGCAAATTTGATGAGCATGATTGTGCAATACCATGTATGGGTGCCTTTTTTGTATTATGGAAATTAAAATATACAAATTTGATGAGTATGAGAGGGTAATACCATTTTACAGCATTTTTTTGGGGATTGGACAACAAAGAGGATTCATGCATGATGGGAGCAATGAAGATGGGGAAAATATCTAGAACAAACTACATGTATATGGTGTAAACTTGAAAATTAACGTCAAATAGAAATGGAACGTGGAAAAATCTTAGGTTTTCCTTTTTTTTTAAAAAAAAAAGAAACTATGGTACTTTTTAGGTTTGCACTATATATTTTTCCATAAAGATAAATGTTGTGACTTTCTACTTGCAATGCGTGATGAACTCATTTCTAGTACTCATAAGTGATGAACTACAAACAAATATCGGGCCATCGACTGGTTTATGAGTTCTACATTTAACATATCCATCGTTGTCTTATTGGCTCGTGAGAGTAAAAGAAAATTTAAGTTTTAAAGCTAAATTTTATAGTTGATTTTGATGTTTTCTCGTCATGGTTTTTGCAGCATTGTTTTTAAATCGCAAAGAACAAAAACATATGTAAAAGTTATATCCGTAAATTAGTTTCTGTATATTGCTTTGTTCAATTTTCTGGACTTATCAGGCGTGGAGAAAACGATGGATGGATGTGTTAGTTTCCTGGCTCACACTGCAAGGATGGGACAAAGGTTTGGTTAAATTAAATTGATTAATCATGCTTTGCATTTCTGCGCAAGCTAATTAACAAGCCTCACTGAATGGAATTGATCCAGCAGGAGGCAGACATACTGTAGTGATTGAAAAGCAGCAAGCTTATTCCAGCAGGAGCAGGTGATAGGCTGCTAAGCTAGCTAGCAAGCATATATTCGATTCGATTCGACCGCCCCCGCCCCGCCCATTAATTTCTTCATTCTCATCAGCATCTCGATCGATCCATCGGCAGCTGGCCGGCATCAAGCTCTTAACTTAATTAGCTAGCTAGTCTCTCCCTCCCTCCACCGCATATCCATCCCCCACCAGTTGTAGCAGTAGCTAGCTCCAAGAGCTTCTTGTCCATGAATTGTTGATCTCGATCGATCGATCTCTGCTGCCTGCTAGCTAATGAATAAACAATAGCTAGGCTATATATATATATATATATATATATATATATATATATATATCGATCGACCATGTCGTCGTGGATGCAGCACAGGCGGCGGTCGTGGACGGCGCGGTTGCTGTCCTCCGCGTCGCTCCCGCCGGTGCGCCTGCTCGTCTTCTTCGCCATCGTCATCTTCTTCCTCTCCGTCTCCTCCTACGTCGACTACAAGGCCATCGAGCGCCGTGCGGAGATCGGCCTCCGCGTCTTCGCCGCCCCGCTCGCCGCCGTCACCATCTTCCTCCTCTTTCTCGTCCTCCAGCATCGACGCCGCTACTGGACGCTGCGCCGCCAAGTACACCACCACCATGCATATGCTGATCAGGCCGAGGCTGCAGGGAGCGGGTCGCCGTGGGTTGTGGCGCTGCTGCTGCTGCTGTTGCTGCTCATGCTCTCCTTCCAATCCTCTGTCCATTCCATCTGGTTCAGGCCTCTCTGGGATTCTGCTGATTACTAGTAGTAACTAGCTACCTACTTCTACGGTTCTACTCCACCTTGCAGCTATAATTTACTCATCTACCTACCTAGCATATACTATATATTATCTATCTATACATACAGGAATTAATCCATCCATATGTAATACGCTGTCTCTTATTTGATCTCTAGCTCGTATATACTCCATCTGTTACACAATGTATGCATGTATGATACAACTTATGTTCCCGTCTTGATACAATAGCAATATATTACTACTAGAAGGATTAATTGCATCTGTATACTACCACGCGTCTTCAGTTCTGCTCTATTTACTGGTTCAAAAGAAATTGCACTGCAAAACTGTTCATGAGAGACAATGTGCTAAAAAAGAACACTTTACACGTGTAGCCTAAATATGAATATGTTATAGTAAATGAGAATTCATTTTTACGTCTTTAATTTATACAGTTATGAGGTAGTACACTAGTTATAACAAGAGTTTACTGTAGTTCGACTTGAATAATTAATGTCAACGGACTATGTAGCCATGTCCATATTGTTGTCTTTTTCCTAGCTCTTACATGTTTCTAAATTCGCCAATCTTCTTTTTCGATACCTTGGCGTTAGCTAGAAACCTCTTGGGTTTTATTTTTCCTTTACACATGGTTCTTGGCTACAATATCGGGCAATATCTGATATACCGTTACAACCAAGTCTGACAAACACTACTGCTATGGCTTCTTTTTATAACAATAATCATTCAATGTACGCCTAACTAGAACATATAAATAATATTTTAATCTAAAGTTATAACGACTAGAATAGTTAGCATTAACACGTATCATTGTCCTATTGTAGCTGCTTTTCAATTGACGTCATAGAATCTATGGCATTAGACACATCTTTAGTGTGCCCGCTAATATGTTTAAACTGTTTTTATTTGTAAAATGAGATTTATATCATTTTTGTGAAGAAGTATACATCAATTATAAATACTCTCATAATAATTGTTCTTTTTAAATTTCTATACATAATATTTGGGGATTTGTCCCACACCGTATATATTTGAGTATTTAGCAGCAAAAGCGGCTGTTGGCTGTGTGCTGCACAACTCTAGATAGGGGATGTAAATAATTTCCGTAATTGAAAAAATGCTCTCATAATATAAATTCATGAGAGTAGTATAACACATGTAAAACAAACAGGTAATAACTCAAGTAAGTAGTACTTAGAAGTAAACAACACGGGGAGTATATATATATCATGAAAATGAGAAAGGAAACAAATAAACAACTAGTGGTATTGGAATGTATTGATGTAAAATAAGAATACGGAGTTGTAGAGGGGGGCAGAGTGAAAAAGGGGGGGCAGCAAGCCGAGCATCGCGTACTTTCCCCGCAACCCCAAACAACAAGGAAGGAAGACGCTCCTCCCCTCCCATCTCTTAAACCCCAAAAAAACCAAAATAAAAATCCTCCTCCTCCTCCGCCTCCGCTTCCCTTCCCTTCCCCGATAGAAATCCATCCCTCCCGCCGCCGCCGCCGCCGCCGCTCCTAGGGTTCCGGCACCTCCCCGAATCCCCCCCTCACTTCGACCCCTGTTCGCTTCACCCGCCGCCGCCATGGCGGAGAAGCTGAGGGATCTGAGCCAGCCCATAGACGTCCCGCTGCTGGACGCCACTGTCGCCGCCTTCTACGGCACCGGATCTAAGGAAGAGGTATTCTACTTCTCCGCCCGCTCGCTCGCCCGCGCCTTGCGTGCTTCTTCCCCGCCACCGCCGCCGGACAGCTTCCGAGACTTAGGGTTTACGCGCTTTCTTCTCCTATGCGTTCCCAACCCTATCCGCTCTCACCGCCCGCCAATGCCCTCTCAACCTTACTCTTTTTCATCCTTAGGGTTTCGTATTTACTGGAGTATGCGTCAAGCTGGGCGTTGCTGCTGCTATTATAGCACCGTTTATGACCCCCCCCTTCACGCTCTGTGTTTGCTGTTGCTGCCCTGCTGCATATTCGTTTATCCTTTTATTTTAACCTCCTGCCAATATACAATGTCATTATCACCTTTAATGTGTTTCTTCCTACCATTTTTTTGATTAAGCAATGTCATGCATGCATCCATATTATCCTTATGTGCCTTTTTTCTTCTTTCAGAGGAATGCCGCTGATCAGATACTACGGGATCTACAGAATAATCCAGATATGTGGCTGCAGGTGGTCCACATTCTGCAGAATTCTCACAACTTGAACACCAAGTTCTTTGCCCTCCAAGTAAGTTTCCGCACCTCACTAGTTAGCCATGTTAGGTTTCTTTGCAACTCAATAAAGATGGCTGCCATTTCTCTTAATGATTAGCATTGTAGTAAGATATTTTTTCATCCCGTAATACCTGCACTTTACATTACACGTTTGCTTATATGATTGTAGTGTAACTGTGTTAGGAGAGGTTCTCATAGTCACCATATCCTATATTTGAGCATTCAGATTGTTCAACAGTGTTGAGTGTTTTATCACTTATGTACTACCACATTATAGAGACGAATCAACCCTAGGAGAAACACATGTTGCTTATTTGCCTTCGCAGGCCTAGCGCATAGGCTAGATTGAATACATACATAGGCCATGCTTAAAAAATTTAAATGCAGGATGGTAGCATGAAGTTTGTACAGAACCCTGTTTACAGTAAAAGTGGATGCTTCCTTTTTTACAGAAATAGATGGAGACCTAAGTTTCTAAATATCAGTTTGCAGTTTTTGTGCTATGCTTATTTTTTAACATGCTGGAGAAACATGGTTTATAATGGCCTCTATTTAGAGCAGTGAAAGGTGACATGTTGGTTCTATTGTTTCACCAACAGAATAAAAAGAGCTTCTCTTTTGCCACTTCAGAATCTCTAATCTCTTTCACTATTCAAATAAGGCTCATCTCTTTTTTTGCCATGACTCCATCATCACCCTTCTCTTTTTGGCAGAACCACAGAAATTGTTTAGGGGCCATATGGTATGATCATGCAACCCATAGTTATGTGCATCAGCCATAAATAAAACCTGGGTTTTCTGCATCTACAAGCTAGTTTCAACATGATGCTGATGCTTGCTCCATGTTCATTTTAAATTAGGAGATCCCAACCTGGGATGTCTCTGTGCATGCATGCTAGTGCTACATCTTCACTTGTAGCTGCGAAGTTCATTCTGTGTCATTTCCTGATTTTGCTACACATTTTAGGTACTTGAAAGTGTTATAAAGTATAGGTGGAATGCATTGCCAACTGAACAACGTGATGGCATCAAGAATTACATATCTGATGTTATTGTCCAGGTAAGGACCAATACATTTGACAAATCTTTTATTTCATCTGGCCCATGAAAACAAATCTCATTCGTGTATGCCTTTTATGTTCTCTTTCGTCACTCTATCAGCTCTCCAGTAATGAGGCTTCTTTTCGGCAAGAGAGACTTTATGTTAATAAACTCAACATTATACTGGTGCAGGTAAGCTGTACTGTTTCAGTCACCTTTTAAGTCATAGCACTGCTTGTTATTATCTATTTGTTCATCTGGCAAGTCAACTGACTTGTATTATTAATTGTTGCAATATAATAGGTTCTGAAGCATGAGTGGCCAGCTAGGTGGTCATCTTTCGTTCCTGACCTTGTTGCTGCTGCAAAGAGTAGTGAAACCATATGCGAAAATTGCATGGCTATATTGAAGGCAAGTTGAGTTATCACCTGTTTCTGTTTAACAACATGGAACCAACTACTGACTCTGCGATTTGCAGCTTTTAAGCGAAGAAATTTTTGATTTTTCAAGAGGTGAAATGACACAACAGAAGATTAAAGAACTGAAGTCATCACTTAACAGGTTGGTTCTTGTTACCATCTTTGTCCTTTTAGGGTGTTCTGTATCTATATATATTAGACCACAGTCAATTATTTTGACATATACTTTATTGCGACTGCCTTTTGAACTGATGCAACATTATTTTCCTTATTGTTGAACAGTGAATTTCGTCTTATTCATGAGCTATGTTTATATGTCCTATCTGCAACACAAAGACCTGAGCTCATCCGTGCTACACTGGCTACACTTCATGCTTTCTTATCATGGATACCAGTGGGCTTCATATTTGAGTCACCTTTGGTATGTAGCTTATTTCTAAACTTATCAGGAAAGATCCTACATAGAATTTATCAAATCATGTCTTATTTTTCTTCATATATGTTTGTTAGCTGGAGACATTACTGAAGTTCTTTCCTATGGCTGCTTATCGGAACCTTACACTCCAGTGCCTTACAGAGGTAAATTGGTGATGTATTTCCTGCTGTGTCTAATTAGCAATGTTTCTAACTGCGTATGTTCCTAATGGAGTAATAAAAAATGGACCATATCCATTAGTTTGGTTCAGTTTTTTTTTTCTATATATCCTTTTTGAATGGGGGCAGTAAACCAGCCCTATTGCATTTGAGAAACATGTAACCTTGTTGGTTTAATACCCTATTTATCTTTTGTATATATGGATCTTGCAGGTCGCTGCTCTTCAGTTTGGTGATTTTTATAATGTGCAGTATGTGAAGATGTATACGATTTTCATGATGCAGTTGCAGGTAAAGAATGTCTTCAGGAATCTGTTGCTTCCTTCTTTCTAAAGTATCCTCGCCCTTTCCCCCTCCTTTTAAATATGTACTTATGAACGACCCTTCCATAACATGTATAGGCTATTCTTCCTCCTGGAACAATTCCTGATGCTTATGCTAATGGCTCCAGTGAAGAACAGGTATGGCAGTGATTACTTCAATAACAGTCAGTCATAGGAGTCTGGTTGATTTCTCATTTTTTAAATACCATTGAGGTACTGTATTAATAAAATGTATTTTCCTTGGTGCAGGCATTCATACAAAATCTAGCTCTTTTTTTCACTTCTTTCTTCAAGGTAGGATTTCTCACATTCTCTGTATGCCTAACTATCTTATTTTTTGAGATAATAAAATTGCACACTTAAAATATATGAAACTTTCTTTGAGATGCTGTAACTAATTAACCTACTCTTTTGATGTCATATTCCCAGTTGTGACAAAAAAAGCTGATTTGTTCTTGTATTGGCCTTGTCAATTTATACACTGAAAAAATAACATAAATGTTAGTTACGCCGTACGAAATCATGATTTAGTTTCAATATGCTCTGATCTCTTTATTTGGTGATACATTTAGAATCACATGCGCATATTGGAGGCATCTCCAGAAAATAGAGCTGCATTACTTCTGGGCCTTGAGTACCTCATTGGAATTTCATATGTTGAT